AAAAAAAAAAAAAAAAAAAAGCTTTCTCCTCCATTTCGCATTAAACTTAATTGCAACGTATGACAAAGGAACGAATTTTTTTGAGTTTCTCATTTTTCAGCCAGGGCGTAGTGGCATACACAACACCAGTGTATCACCATCCGTGCTGCAATTGGGGGGTATTAAAACCCTACTAAGTTGAAAGGGCATATCCTGGTTATTTGGCCAGGAAAAAAAAAACAACACTGCTCAGACCCCTGCCCATGTGCACAGTGTTTATAACCCATGCACACAATACTCTGCAAGTGATCACCTTTGGTAAAATTTGTTTCTCCACTTGGACTCCATTTCTCTTACGCCAACTCTTTTAACCTGTCGTTTCGGCGATTTAGAAAAATTGGCTTTTTGCCAGATCGTTTCACTCGCCACTTCACACACATAAATCGATCCGCAGCCTGACCCCACTCCGAAGAAGCGGGAACAACTTTCCCCCTGTTGTGAATTATCACCAGTGTGTACACCTATCCCACACTGTTCGTATTTACGGGGTGCACTATTATGTCCATCTCTACACAGAACCAACAATTCATGCCAAACACGGCATGCTCTCCCCCGTGGCAAAAATGTTAGAAGTCTCACGTTGTACATGGTCATCGGAACTCCGTCCAATGTGTATAGGGAGAGAAATGGGGAAACAAATTTTAAGGTCTCCTTTATTTTTTATTTTATTATGTATATTTTTTTTCCCCCCCGCTCTTCTAACACTTAAGGGGGCGCTACAGTACTTGTAACACTGAACGGGGTCTCTTCTTTCCGCCCCCGGCACCCGTTGAAACGTCACGCGAAACTAATATATAAAAAGAGGGGATTATTATATAACAAAATCGGATCGCAATCCAGGCTGGAATAAGATGTGCCCAATTTCCGTTTCTTTTCCTTTTCGCCCCCGAAGGGAACCCCCCCAAAAAAAAGCGCGTATAGTGCCCCCATGTGCGCATGCCGAAGAGAGGCATTTTCATTTAGCGCGCAAAGAGAAAAATATACACGCCACAAAGGGGATATAGCACCAAAGAGCGCGATAAGAATATTTATTGGGCGAAAAGGGGTAAAACAACACCCCTCCACACCAAGCGGTTCCCCAGGCGTATCTCGCCCCCATGTGAACGTCCGCTTTAAGGCTGAACCCATTCGTAAAATACAACAAGTATAGGAGAACAAAAAGAGGAACGTCTTTTCCTCTTCAAGTGAAAGTATTCGTAAACACCCCACACATGTGTGTTTACCCTCCCCCCCCCCCCAGATCACCTAAAGCAACAAAATGAGCAACAAAAAGTGGGGGAAAAACCTCCTCTACGATGATTACGAGGACGACTTAGTGGACTACGACAATTACGATGAGGAACATTACTCCGAGTTTGAGTGTCAAGAAGTAACGGACATCCCCAAAGGGAAGGCACCTGGGAAGAAGTCAAATCAGAAGGGGCAACCCGCAAAGGGGAAGAAGCCAAACCAGCAGGGCGAACCGGCCAAAGTGAAAAAGCCAAGCCAGCAGGGCGAGGCCACCCAAACGGAGAACCAAGATGACACCCCTTCGAACGCCCTACAGAATGAGATGCAAGCGGACAGTCAAGGCAGCAGATGCATCATGCTCAGCACGCTGAACATCCTGGTGTTGGGCCACATCGATGCAGGCAAGTCCACCCTCCTAGGGGCACTGTTATACAACTTAAACTACGTAAGCGAGCAAACAGTGAAAAAATATGAACACGTGAGGGAAAGTTCCAAGTATACCTTCATATTAGACGAGGAGGATGATGAAAGGGAGAGAAACATAACTCTTTTTAACAAAAAAAAAGAATTCTATATATATTACACCAAGGGGGAATTAGAACAAGCCTACAATCGTGTGGTGAGCACTCAAGGGGGAACAAAAAAAGGGGACAGGACATACAGAAACAGCCAAGAAGGCATGGACGGGAACAACGTCCTGCATTGTCCACACACGGACAAAACCATATTCACCGAATTTTACAAAAACAAAACCATACACGATGATGTGCTCTTTTTAAGGAAAGTAAATATCTTTGACACCCCGGGACATAATGAACTGGTGACAAATTTACACACGTGGAGTTTTTTTGCAGACTCTGCCATCCTAGTTGTAGATGCAAATAATATTTACAACAAAAAAAATGATGAGACGTATAGAAACGTTTCTATATTAGAAGCAGTAGGAATTTCTAACGTCATTGTAGCGGTAAACAAGTTAGACCTGTTCGATTATGATTCAGAAGTGTTCGAAGATATATGTAAAAGGATAAAATCTTTTTTTCAGTGTGCCAAAAGGGATAGTATTTACAATTTTGTTCTTAGTAATAACTTCTACGTGAAGAGTGGACACTCGCAAAAAAGCCGTTCTGCTTCTACACAGAATCATGCACCATTTGAACCCAATTTAACATTCATTCCCCTTTCTGCATACAAAAATTTGAACGTGGTTAAATTTGAACAAGACAAAAGACCATTACTGAATAGCACCTTTAGCTTATACGATGAAATTAAGTACATGAATTTAAAAAAAGATTTATTTCGGCTAAAAGTGTGTGCGGAATTTCTTAGCGATAAAAAGACAGCTCTAACTACTTACTACAATTTTGTCACTAACAATAACGTATTTTTGAATAATATTTTTTACAATTTTTGTCAACATGGGAAAGGAGACATAAGAAATTCGATGAAGAAATCCTCAAATGAACAAGACACATTTGTGGGGGTTGTACAAGACTTAACAGAATCAAATAATATGATCAATGCGAATATTAAAGTATTGCATGGGTTCCTAAAAAGTAAAAATAATTATATCTTATTGCCGGCTGGGGAAAAAATTACGGTGAAGAAAATTGAACAGGACGCCGCTTTGTGTAAATACGTCAACATTGATGACCTTTGTGACTACCTAGCCAATGCGAAGAATCTTCCTTTCATAAGGAAGGTGTTAGAAGAACAAGAACAGGTGCCCAAAAAAAGTGGTGACCCTGCTGGGGGAAATTGTAGTGATAATAGTGATACCCTTTGCAGTGCCCACAAGGGACAAAACGCATTCGAATCTTTTATAAACATTTTACCCCAAATAATTGCATCGTGCCCGATCAACAAAAATGCACATATAACAAACGACATCGTAGAAAACGTCTTCTTCAAAGTCGATGATAACAAAATGAAGAATGGATCAGTTTTGGTAAACAGCGTACCAACCAATTCGGAAATAAAAAATACACCCTATGGGGCAATAAACACCACCTTTGCATGTAACAAGGTGAAAGTATTAATAAAAGTGAATCAAGTTAAAATACCATTCATCATAGGACGAGTGTATCTTTTGTATTCCCTAAACTTTTCGCATAGCGTAACCATTCAAAATATTCTCTATGTGTATAAAAAAAAAGGCAGTTCCTTCAGTTATGACGGAGCAGGGGGGGAGGGTAAAGTACACGTCGAATGTAACGCAAATGATGTAGCACAAATTACTGATTTAAAAAATTATGTAAAAAATGTGAACGTGCTTTACGAAAAGGTGAATAATAAAAAATGCTTACGCAGCGATGATATTGGCGTCATTGAGCTCCTCGTTAATGATAACTCATTTATGTGCACGCAGTACTTCAGGCCAGAATTAAACTACTACATCTCGCACGACAATCCCTTTTTCAGCGTCTACGACCTCCTTGCATGCAGCATCTCGCCCCTCTCTCGCTTTATTCTCTCTGAGGAAAACAAAATTGTTGCCAGTGGTTTTGTCATAGGCCAGGCGTGAGCATGTGTGCACATGTAACACATATACACACGCGTGTGCGCCCGTCGGCGTGAACTCACACAAACGCAACTGTACCACGTTCACAGAAGCCCCCCATTCTCTTGTCCCCTCCGCTGCCCCTCCTGCTGTCGCAAGAATGCATCTGCGATGTTACACAAGTGGACAAATTTTAAAATTAAGTCAATTGAGAGTAAATATAAAAACAAAGGAGAAAACAGATGCGCCGTTGCAAAGATACGCTGCGCACAGCAAATGAAAGCTTCCAAAGGGTTCGAGAGAAACCCATAAGAGCGCGCAATTCTTTCTCCCTTACATGTGTGTCGCTTGGAAAACACTGCACAAACAGCCAAACATGCGAATTTAAAAAAAAAAAAAAAAATATACAACTTTGTTTATTTTTTCAAAACTACGATATGTGAGGACAAAAAAAAAGGCATACACAAAAGCGCAAATTAAATTATCCCCCCTTTTTATTTACCGTGTGAACGGTATACGTAGTTTTTATCAGTAATTTTTGTTCATCCCCTCCACACCCATGCAAACATTTGCTGTGCTGGTGCCCATACATATGCTTATATGTGCATAGGCCGAATGGGCTTTTTCTGCACCTTTTGAAAACGTTTAAGCAGTACCTTTCTACTTGTGCAACTTTCCTTTTTCAGTTCGTACAACCTGGCTTTAATCAGCTTCGCCCATTCGGATGGCGGAAGATCAATTTGACTGGGTTCGTAGGGAAACATCGCGGCCCGTTTGACGCGAACGTGTATGTATATATTTATAAGCCTGACGTATGAATATATTTACGTGAGAGCAAAAATCAAGTGCCAAAAAATGAACACCTGTTTAAACATGTGCACATATGTACATTCCTATTTGTACATGCGAAAAGCTCTCCTGCTTTGTGACGCATTGCCCAGCAAATCACATCAACTGTGACATTTAAAATAAGCATTTTAAGAATCACACCGCTGGAAAAACAGCCAATTATTTAAAAGGCAGCAATTTAGCGTGTTTAAAATTGAGTAAGAAAAAGAAAAAAAAAAAAAAATGCTTCCGTTCACGTATTCTGAGAGATATTTTTACACACACGCATAAAAGTACCCCTCTATTGTGTCCAACCGAAAATGATGCATTTCAAAAACATATCACCGTGTAGACGATTATGTCTGAAAAGCAAAATAACTGTTAACATTTGCAGTAAAATGAATGTGCATTTCTTAAATTATGTTAACTCTTTAAATAAATGTCTTGCAACGAAAACGGCGAATCGCATACTTTTTTCGACATCAAAAAATGCGGATTACGTGAATTACGTAAAGGAAATAAATAATTTCATTGACGCATTTCAAAAAAATTCTGACGACTCTTCATCCAGTGGGGAAAATATCCTTTCCATATTGCAAAAAATTAAGAATGAAAAAAAATATGAACAAAATGAAGATCTCATGGAAATTATAAGTAGCATAAAACTGCTCATAGAGAAAAGGGTTCGCCCAGTTATCGTGAATGATGGAGGAGATATCAAATTCATTTGTTTCGATGTAGATCATGGTACAGCCACGACACCCCCAAGTGTGCCCATGCGCTGAAGGAGCAAAGGGACACAAATGTGTATATGTATATGTGCATCGCTCGCCTACCCCCTGACCTACTAAATTAGTAGACGTACACTTTATTCATCTTACGTATTTACATGTGCGCACTTTTATTCCTCAAAAATGTTCCATCCCTGCAGGCATAGTTTACGTACAACTCGAGGGCGCATGTGTCACATGTTCGCAAAGTGAAATAACGCTGCAGTACATGATTAAAAATATGCTCACATACTACATATCCGAAATTAAGGAAATTAAAAATGTGTCCAAAAATGGAATTATTCTTTAATGTGCGCAACAAAAACAACCACATAAGGACAGATAGGACCATTTTTGTTTCACGAAAGACTGAATCTTTCGAAAAAAGGATGGAAGTTTAAAATAGAGCTTGACTGCAAAGATTCCTCACGAAACAGCACAAGGCACATGTTTTTTTTTAAGTGAAGATGCATACAGTATTACCACTTTAAGTAGTCTTCAAATGTAAAAAGAACGTTCAGTTAAAATACCGCCATGGATGGTGAAGGACACCTATGTCCCTTGAACGAAAACTATCACATTCGAATAAGAAAAAGCGAAAGAAATAAATGTAACCGTCATTTTTTTTTGTCTCACTGGTGAATGAATCCCATATTTATATCTCAAAATATAAGTCCAATGGAATGTGCACACCTTTTTAAACCAAATCAAAAGTCATGATGATTGAACATCAAGTGTATTGGGAAAAAAGCGCGTAAGTTTATTTTTCCTTTTGTTTTTTTAAGCATTTTCGAAAAATGCGACATCTTTTATGTATGTGCCAAAAAATGAAGTGAATTTTTTTGTAGACAACAGTGTACGAACGTAGCCATGTCTATAGCGGGTATTATCATTTATTAAACATGTTTGGCATAATTGGCATAAGAAATTTTTTTCCTTTCCCCCCATGTGTTTGTAAATTAATTTGTTACTTCTTTTATTTTTTTTTTTAATCCCTACACATAACGTTTTTCTTAATGAAGCAAAAACGTAAGCTTATTTTCGTTAATGTAAAAAATTATGAACAGTTCATATATTTTTTTTTTTTTTAACTCATTCCTGCACACACCACGAGAAGTGACTAAACTAGAAATTTTAATTAAATGAAAAAACGCTAAATTTTTAAACATATTTGTTATGTATATATAAACCACAGAATTAGTGTACAACAAAATGGCGCGTAAAACGTCCTTGGAGGGGGAATTTTCACATACACAGCCCTGTTGCACTTACCCCATGTACATTTTCACGTCTTTTTCCATTTCTGTCATATTATTTAAAAATTGGGAAATATCACCAACTTTTATGAAAAATTTTCCCCTTTCTAAAAATTTTATTCGTAAAACATGGATGAAAATGCATAGAACGCTTCGGTACACATGTACACGACAAAACTCCGCTTTAATGCAACAAAGGGGATAAAGTTCGAAACAAGAAATAGTTCATTTTTACAAAACATTATTTCCTTCTTTTTTCCCTTAAAAATGCGAAAAAAAAATTACCTACAAAATACATGTGCACGTATATTCCCCTTTTCAACCATTACACGTTTTCATTTTTGGTGAAGGAAAAAAAAAAAAAAAAAAAATCAACGTATCATACCAAATTCACAAATACACTGCAAACGTTCTTTTGGGACTGTCTTAAAAACACACATTTTGCATTTCAAAAAAGGAATGTCAGAATAGTTCTCTCATTCCACAAAATAAGGAACAATGGTGAAAATGTGTAAAAGTACGTTTGCATAGTGTTTATTTTTTCATTTATTTCTGTTGTTGTAAAAGTGCAAATTTGTTAAGCTTTTGATTATCCATTTAATGAGTAACTGCAACAAATATTTGCTAGAAACTTAGATAATTTGTCTTTTTAATTGACATTATGGCTAACACAGCACTACACAGAGTAAATATTTGTACTTATTCTTATGAGCACTCCCTTCCACATTTCCAAAAGGTGAGCTCACAATTTCAATGATGAACCATCCTTTTGTGCTTAAATAGCCACAAAAGGTGATTTAAAACTATAATTTTTTTTTTTTGTTCCACTGCGGTGTATTCTGCAAGTATAAAAAGGCCGGCTAAACAAGAGATATGCATGTTGTTATGTTACCCCCCCTATATACATACACTCTGTCACCGAGGAGGCACTTGTGATGTTATGCGTCTACATGTAAATCATGTAAACTGCTTCGATAATTTAATCACACCTGCATTTCTACAATTGGGATTAAAGAATAAACATGTATGTGAATTAAATTTTTACCAAATAACGAAACGTTCAAGGGCGCACATGTTGCCTCATTGTTGTCTTCTTTTTAATTAGTACAAGTTATGTCCAAAAGGGCTTTGACATTTCCATTTGAAGCTTTATAGATGTACACTTTGATACATACGAAAAAGGGAAACCTATTTTTCTACACGCTTTATGCTAATTCAAGATTGCTCCATCGCACCCATATCTACAATTGTGTGTATTTTTTCTATCAATACAATGAACGGGAATGACAAAAGTATAACTAGGGAAATTTTGCTAAATGAAAAAAAGAATGTAGACTCAACAACAGAATCCGCAAAACTTGAATATGATGCAAATAACCAATCAGATTTCAGCTCAGAATTCGAATTTAATTTCAAGAAGCACATTACGGACAGTTTCGAAGTTAAAAACAAAGGATTGTTTAAGCTTTCCCTAGGAAACAAAGTAAATTCTAAATCCAATTTTGCTAATCATAGTGAACGTGTAGCAGACAGTGGAAGCAGCAAAAAACACCCAGGAACAAATCGCAAGAATAATGAATTGACTAAACCTAAACAGTTAGCTCAAACTAAAAGGGGAAGTCTCCTTGAAAACAAAGATGAAGTAATAACTAATCTGAAAAAACACATAATTGTGATAACCAACGAATTTGAAAAAAAATTAAGTAACATAGAAAATGCTGAGAAAGACAACTTTCAACTGGAACAAATATATAAAAATAAGTATTACTTAGATATGAAAAGAGAAAAAAGTAAGGCAATAGAAATTTACGCCAAAAATGAAGAATTACTAAAGAAAATTGATTATTATAATGAATTTTTTCAAGAATTAAAAAAAAAAATTCGCTGTCTTCGGAGGGATACTCTCACTCTTGTAGAACACTTTGGGACTACCGCAAATATAAATTTCTTTTTTAAGAATGTGAACGATATATTATCCCTCATGCAATCCGTAGAACAGAAATGTTTCCAAAAGAATACGCATAAAGTGAAAGAAAAAAGTGAAAAGCTAAAAGTTGATAATTTGGAGCATGTAAAAAATGAAAACAGAAACAAAAAAAAAAAATCCCCCATGAAAAATACGCTTAGAATAGCAACCCCGTCTTATGGAAATCACAAAATCGCTGCAAGTTACATACCTGAAATACAAGAAAAAACACAAAACCTATGCTTTAATAAAGAAATATATTTGTTGAATGATTCATTTTTAAAACATTATGAAAGGACAAACAATCTAAATGATAATGTAAATAGCCCTAGAAGAAACAAAAATACATTTGGACATAAGAACAAATTAAGAAAAAGTAATGTAAAATTAGGGAGTACACGAACTGAGAATAATATAGATTCTAAAAAAAGACGCAAAGTTACAAATTTCACCATACGAATGAAAAACGTTTCTCCTGAGAATTCGGATGACATTCTACATTTGTTGAGAAAAACAAGAAAAATTAACTATTTATTAAGAAATTATTTAAAGACAGAATATGATAAAACCATGAATTATCCAAAAGAAAATATAAACAGTGATAGGAATGACGATGAACCATTTAAATTGGGCAAGACTAAAGAATGCATATTACGCAGTGACAATAATAGAGGTTCTACATGGAAAAGGGAACACATTGCTTAATCTATGGGTACAGGTGGGAAAAGTTAAAACATTATCATGAAATAGAAAAAGAAAAAAGAATTCACACATTTACGTAGCAAAAATTGAAAATAAGAATATAAGAACACAAAAAATCATTGTTAATTTTTAGGATTCAATAAAGAGATAACTTATCCTTACACGTAATCATTAATATTGTTATGTGTAACTACATTGTCATAAAAATAGATCAACAGTAAATTATTCTAAATGTATTGATATTTCTAAAATGCAAAAGTTTCAACTAATGTGTTTTCAAGAGGTACAAATTTATGCATTTTTAATAGAATTATGTGAGACATGAGAACGTTATTTTTCTCTCTCCACATAAATATAACGGGCTCTTACAGAATGCGAAAATGAAGATGTTGTGCATTATAAAGATCCAGTTTTATATATTAGGATATGTACACTTCCTTTTCTATTATTTAGTGATTCATACATGGGTAACGTGTAACAAAGTACATTTCAATTCATTAATTAAAAATGTATAGTGAACGTTTGTATGTCTGCATAAATATTCTTTACGTTTTGTTATTGTTGTTATTTTAAAATTGTGTAATTAAACTTTTAAGAATCAAAGAAAAGAACAAAATGAATACTATTATTAAACATTATAGTCGTTACATTTTTGATATACGATTGTAGCCACGAGTCTGGCTTAAAACCTAGGTTCTTAATAACGAAATAACCCTTTTTTGTTTTGTCTATTAACTTAAATGTGTTAGTAAAAACTAGCTTAAGTTATTGTTTTACGCACACTTCTTCAGTATGAAAAAATACTCCTATTTCCTGTGGACATTTTTCCACAATAAGTATTTGCAATAAAAAAATGCGTCTTTTTTAAGACTGCACTACCTCAGAATTCGTCAATGGAAATAGCTAATTTTCATGTCATTGCACAAAGAAATTAAAAATTAGCACTGTGTTTTATTTACAAAATACAAAGATACATTATCAAAATAAGTATTGAATTTGCAAAGGTGTAATAGAAACCTTTGTTTTCGTAATTAGAATTGAATAAAATGTATAAATGCATTAGTTTAACAAAATAAAAAAAAAAAAAAAAGGAAGAACTATATAAAATACACACAGAAAAATGCGTCCATAAATATAATTTGTGCAGCATGTAAAAATTAATTCTGGGTAATTAATATATATTATAAATTAAAATAATATAAAACAAATATTAAAATAGGCTATAATAATTAAAAGAAAACAATATATTAATTAAAATAAAAATAGTTTTTAAATAATTATATAACTATTAAAATATTATATATATAATTAATTGACAATATTTAAATATATGATTAATACAAATTAATTTAATTAATTAAATATAAATTATAATTTAATAAAATGGAAAATTGTTTTATTAATTAAAATTATAATATGTATATTATTATTTTGAAATATACATTATAAAAAAAACAATTATCTTAAATTTTAATTATAAATAAAATAACAATAAATTAATTAATAATAATTAAATATAACATAAAATTATATTTTAAAATTAAATTAATAATTAATTAAATGATAATAAGACATTTTATTAAATTGAAGTTGTGTTTTATAATTTTATTTTTAAAAAGATAATTTAATCATATAAAATTAATTTAAAGACATATATATATTAGTAATTAATATAATTAAAAAAGAAAATGAATAAAAAAAATGTATTCATAATTAATAATATTAAGGAATTAATAATATAATTAAATAAAACAATATATTAATTCATATAAATTAATATATTTTAAATAAGTTAAATAATATAATAAATTAATAATTAAATATGATAAATAAAATTAAAATTTATTATTTAAATGTAAATATACTAATTAATATAATATATATATTAATTATATATAATAAATAAAACAATTAAATATAATTAATTAAAATAAATATAGTACATATTAAATAATTCATTTAATACATATAATGTATTAAATAAAATTAATATAATTTAATTTAATTATTAAGACATAAAATATAATACTATATGTGATTTAATATAAATAAATAAAATTGATATAATTAATTAAACGAAAAAAATATATAATTAATACTTAAAATAATATTGAATAAATACCTTAATTAAATAAATAAAAATAAATAATAAATTAATTAAAAAACAAATTAATAATGTAATAAAAATAAATAAATAAATTTAATAATAAATTTAATTTAAATATAATTAATATATACTTGAAATTAAAAAATATTTTTAATTATATATTAATCAATATTCTTGTATATATAAGTAATTTTATAATTTTTTATTATTTTAATGTATAATATAATATTAATTTAGTATTTATATGGTATTTATTTAATATAATAAATATGTTTTTTTTTAAACAATTAAAATAATATAGTATATAATTAATTAAAAATAAATAATAATAGTAAGAATTAAAAAATTAAAATAAGCATTTAATTAAAGGAATTAATAATAAAAATAATTAATTAATTAACAAAATAAATAAATATATATGTTATTGTAAATAACATTATAATCATTTTAATTATATAATAGAAGTAATTAATTGTTATTTATATTAACAAATAAATTAAGATATTATTTTATTCATAATAAAATTACTAAAATTATATATATTTAATATATTTATTTAATTCAATTATTATTTATTAGTCTATGTGTTTTAATTAATTTTTTAGTAAAGTATTTATATTTAACTATATATTTTTTAATATATATCATTACATTATTTTTAATTATAATATAATATAATATTTATTTTAATTTTATTTATTTTTATTTAATTATTTAATTAAATAATATTTATCATATATTACATTTCTAAATTAATTTTTAAAAATTATATTATTTATTTAAGCAATATATATTTATTTAATAATTTATATTATTTTAATTAATTTTAATCCTTTCTTATTTTTAATTATTTATATTTTTCTTAATTTTTATTATATAATTATAAATAATTATTATTTATATTTTGTATTTAAATATATTCTTTATTAATTTTTATTTATAATTGTTTAATTTTATATAAATTTATACTGTTTTATTTCTTTAATTCTTAAAATTACTATATATAGTTTTTATGCATTTATATTCAATTATATTAATATTTATTTAAATGAATTATATATATATATATATTTATTTATTTATTCCTGTGTCATATTAAAATAATTATTTCGTACTCCATTTTATATATGTTAAATATGAAATTTTATGATTAATAGTGTATTTTATTATTATTATTTTTTATGTTTGTTAATACTGACATAAATGTGATAAGGAATATATTTTGTACTTTAATTATAATTACATATATCCTATGATAACATCTAATCCTTTATAATATAGAATTGTTGTATAAACTTACATTAAAAACATGAACTATTATTAAATATATCGTCCTTTGCAACATGTAATTTATGACAAACGGTATATACAATTCGAAGTTCTTTCTTCATTTATGAACCATGTTTAGTTTATACTTCCATTAGAGATTTACCTGCAAACGGTTTTCTTAACCTTTACTAATTTTTTACATTTTTAAACTTCTCATTGTACATCATAAAAATATGTAGGAATTAATTATAATGTATTTCATACTCTTACACACAATAGTATATATAACCCAATCTTTATATAAGACTATGTATTCCTTAATAATATGTCTTATTAGACCTAGACAAGCTTTAAAGGAAATTATACTACTACGTTTTTGGGAATGTAAATAAAATATGAAGTTAATCCTTTCGGCACTGTAAAAAGTATAAAATGGAAGATAAGTATTGTGCATATGTTCAATATAGCAAGTTGTATATGACACACCTTATAAGAATATATAATATTATTTATGAAAACTCTTTTCGAGCGAAAACAAAACACCTGTAAGTATATGGTCATCTTTCTAAATTTATTATTAGAATCGCGAAATATATCCACTTTTTTTGCCAAAAACGGAGTTTTTTTTTAATGGGATATACTTTCACAAATGACTTAGTATAAGAACATACCAGAGGTGTATGCATAGAACTATGTTTGTGAACGAAAACTTCGAATTTTTTCTATCACAGAAAAAATAATTTATGAATTTATATAGACCCCCCAATTTTTTCTTCTAAATTCATATTTTTATTTATGTATCATAACCTAAATTGCGTATAATTTTATATTTTAGATAAAGTTAATCTTCAGGTAAAACGATTCACACTTTGTGCAACTTAACAGCGCAAATCTCATCATGTCCTAGACAATTTATTTTATACTTGTATTATAAAATTTATTAATAATGGCGATGATCACAAATGTAATTAAAAATGAATTATGAAAAGAACTCTTTTTAAAAATATACATTTATAATTTTTTAAATATCTTTTAACACAAATATGCTGAAATTTGAAACAGAAAAGAACAGAATTATTTATTGAATTGACAACAAAAATGGATGTAAATTTAGAAAATGCTGCTTACATAAGACACATAACGAACAAAAGGGGATACAGTTTCCTGTTAATTCTATGTAGATGTTATATCTAAATCACTATTTTCATTTAGTAAAAGACAACACGTGTCTTAAAAGACAATGAATGTTTATCTATTTTTTCTGTATTACTTATCATTTATAAAACACGTTATGAGAAATCATTTTGAAAAATGTGCCTTTGTTTGCTTACGCATAAGAAATAGTATTAAATGAGGCACAGAAATATTTCTGAAGACTTATTTCAGAATTATACTTTCTCTTTTGCAGAAAATGAGAGGTAAATATCTTTTATTATTTATATGAGAGGCATTGCCAAATGAGAATAACAAATAAACTAATTTTTTTAAGTGAACAGATCCCTTATATTAAGCATTTTCTTTTTGTATTTTCATTGGAACATAAAGAACAACGTAAATTCTCATGTTAGCTATAGACGCATAAGAATGACAAATTTTTACCTATTATTTTATATGAAAAATATAATAAACTTAAGTGTATAGGTGTATTTTTTCCATGAGTACTACAATTCATAAAAATGATGTAGAATTATTTGAATTCATGCATTTGGGTACATTTTATAGGAGACACAGCAAATAAGTGTGTAAAACATATCAATAATACAGTCATGTGTTTTTCAAAAAAGAAAAAGCCTAAAGTATTGTTAAAACATTGTTAATACTGAATTCTATATAAACTTCATGCCACATTGCATAACTTTAGATAAATGCTTAAAATATTTTGAAAACCTGTAGTACTCAAAGCAAAAGTTTTTATTTCATTTTATTCACCCTTTTACATGTAAACTATTATAGTCGCTAAGGGTAGAGATCCTAACATTTTCGTTCAGCAACATTTGGAACCATGAGACAAAAATAATATCTTTTAAAAATGCCTTATAGTTGCGCAGCATAAAGAGAATTAGAAACTAGAAGCATGTACACCTTTGTTATTTTTCATTTTAAACGAGGGGTTAAATTTTAAAGAGCTTATCACATATTTCCTTTAATAATTTTAGTCAATGCAAGAAAATTATATTTCTTTTTGTGTTTATTTACCCCAAATATGTGGTAACATAACATTTTTATATCAATACATTATTAGGCTAACAAATAAGTTTATCGTTGCAGTTTGGTTTTAAAACATTTTATATTTTAAATGCACAAAACATCTGTGTACTAATCATTTAGCACACCTTAAAAAAGTGGTGAAGAAAAAAAAAATGGACAAAGTGACAGAAAATGAATAACATAAACCTTAAATTATATAAAAAATATTAATTTCGTTTGCACAACATAAAAATATGAAAGTTAATTTCTCTTTACAAAAATAACGATTTATAAATGTTTTTCGTGAGTATAAAATTTGCAAAAATACAAACAAAAAATGTATTCTATATGATGTTAGCATAAACGTACATTATAAACCCATTGCATGGAATAATATATTTCCCTAAATTAACAGTTAAAATCAACAATATTTAAAACAAAAAAATTAAGGAATTTATTATAAAAAAAAAGGTTATGTCCACATAAAACAAAAAAAAATACGGAAGCATTTTCATATGAAAAATGTGTAAAGTACAAGAAAAAAAGGGTTTCAATTTAATTAAAATGCTTAATTGATTTTTTGGGAAATTTCTTCCCTCTTTTCTTTTTCATAACAAAAACAGCAGAATTATTTCCAGCGTGCACCTATAAAGAGAAAAAAGGGGAAGTAGCATTAACACACGTATAAGCTATTTTTACCAAATAGTTTAGAATATAAATGTACATTTGGATAAACACATCAAGTTGTTATAAAGTCCCAAAATATTAAAGATTGCAAACACGTACCTGTTTTACTAAAAAATCGGAATTTTGTATTGTTAGCATATTGTAAGGGTGCTTCTGGTTATGCTTATTAGTGAAAAATACAGGGTGGTTATATTTGAAAAAATCAATGTAATCATTATAACCTAATATTTTTAAAGAATTGTCATCATAAATCAGAAATATATTATTTTCATTAATGGATATGTTCTTTATGGTCTTCGTATTATTCAAATTAATGTTAATAAAAGGTGATGATCCATAGGCCATGTGTTGAAAATAATTAGGAAAATAGTATTTCAGGTCCCCTGCCATGTATATATTATTGTGGATGTCAAGCACACATGTTACAATGTTGCTACAGACAATTTTTTTTATTATTATAAACTGGTTTGGAGAAATACCTTCAGCTTTCGAATTTGTTATATTTGTATTATTTTCCTTATTTCCAAATGTATTAAATCTATTCTTAAAAGTTGTAAGGGGATTATTCTGTATATGCGTTGTGTCGTTATTATGACTTATATGAACGTTATTTTTGTGTATATAATATAGGTAATAATTGTACTTGTACAAGAATAAAAAATTATTAAAATTGTAGTAAAAAAAGTTATTACTGATTCGGGTAAAGGTGTACACACTTTGGTTAATGTTATTTATGCATAAGTTATTGTTTGTATCCCTGCCACATACATAGATGCACATGTAGTGTGCCAGCATTTCTTCTATCATACGATATAAACGTGATGTGTCGGAACACGAATAGGTTGAATCCATGAGTTTAAATTCATCAAATGATTTATCTCCCCAATTTACAATTGTGCTGGTGTAATTTTTAATGTCATATATGTCATTTCTATATATGAAATCGCTTAATTCACTTCCTGAGCTCAAATAGCATTCAGGAAAGTTCTTACTCATTTTTGACTTCATTTTCTCACTTTCCATATGCTTATAATTCTCTGAGCAAGTAATGTTTTTCATTATATATTGATAATATTTATCATATATGCTTTTTTTAAAGCACGTTATTACAGTATTTGCCTCCCCACATGATACATTGGACACCATTAAAATACTGTTCAAGAAAATCGTCATGTACTTTTTTTTTACAAATAAAAATAAAAAGATGATTAGTTTAATATTGATACATACAGTTTCTTCTTTCTCGATATATTCGTAAATCTGTGGATTAATAATTTCGTTTTCTTTCATTAATTTTACAAATTTATTTGGATCATCAACATTAAGAATGTCAATTTTTTTTTGTGAATTTAGCGAATTGCCATAATCTTTTTTATTAGTACCCTCTTCATCATTTCCTTTTTTATATAAATCAACACGCTCATTTTTACAATAATTTTCATTTGAAACGTTGAATTTTTTATTACTGTTATGTGTACACTCTTTTCTGTTATGCGTTTCACTATAGTAGTCTTGCACATTCATATACTTTTCATCGTAAAAGTTGTAATCATAAAATTTCATTCCATAAATATAAGGATTTATGTTAATATTGTTCGGGATATTGGTGTAGATATTTATATCATTTCTAAAAAGACTCATGTAGATGTTTACTACTTCTGCTTTTATAAAAGTTTCCAGATAATCAAATATCCTAATATAGCTGTTTTTTCTTTTTAAATTGCTATTTTGTGGTTCTACTTTTTTTTGCGAGCTTTTATTAACGTTTCTGTTATTATCATTATCATCATCATTTTCCAGTTGATGTAAATTGCAATGTAAATTTATTAAATTTTGTACACTGCACGTATCATTAGCCTCGATCGAATCCATACTGGTTATTTTATTATTTGCACTATTTTCATTCTTTTTAACTCTATATGATAAATTAAATATACACACTTGAATTGGAACAAGAACTAAATTGTTGTTCATTTTTTTCCTTTTTATATTATTCATGGAGTTTAAATTGGAGTGTAATTTTAATTTTCTGTCGTTGAGTAATATCTCATTATTTGTGATGTTAAAACTATTTTGAATGGGATTTTCAACGTTAGAACTGAACTTTTTTTTGCAAAACGAAAGTTTACCCTTGTTAAACTTATTCTTTATATTTTCTATTTTCTTCTTGTCTATCATATTAAAGTAGTAACTTTCCGTGGTGGATGAAGATACGGAAGAAGATAAAAGTTCTGACATTTTATTTTTGCTATTTTCCTTTTTTTCCTTTTTTTTTTGTTTATAGTTATTATTTGAATCACTATCTGAAAACTCCGACTTGTTAAAGCTATCAAAGTAAATGTTTTCGAAAGGAACGGATGTTTGACCTAGCTTCTGTTCTCCCCACATAAATATAGATCCATTTGAATATGCGCACACATGATTATTTCCACAGAATATAGAACTAATGGGGACATATATTTTGTGTACGCTTATAACTACATTTTTAACTTCTAAATTTTCAAAATTAAACATATTTTCTGAAGTGTAAATGTTGTTTGTTTTTAGGGTGAAAAAGTCTTCATCTTTGTATTTATTTCCATTTAGTAAATTGCCTGAATTGACTAACTTTGCATCACAGTCATTACATTTTACAGAGCTCTCCTTTAAAGCACTTTGTGAACTTTTATTTTTATTGTAAATATTCTTTTTTATTGTTTCTAGGATTAACGAATTGTACAAAATATTTTCAGAGCACCTGCTATTTATCTTTTCTGACCCCTTTATTTTTATTTCTGTCTTATAATTCGTGTGTATCTGTAACTTTTCAAAATCATACAAAAAAAAATGGCCAGGGTTAATTAACGTAGGCGCGTATCTGTTGATCTTATCGCCAGTCCCTAAACATCCATATTTATTGTTCCCCCATGAATACACATGACCAAAATTGTTTATGGAAATGACAAAATCTGCACCATTGTAAATATCAATAAATTTTACTCTAGTTTTTATATCATGAATAAAATTATAAATGAATTTGTTGTGATTAAGATTGCTATCTAGCAATATGGTTTCACTTTTGCCCTTGGTTGACGTTGCACTTTTTTTACAGTTTCCTCTAGCGTTTTTTTTTTTTTGTCCTTTCATGTACTTTTTTGAATATTTATAATCATCATAATTCCTTTTTTCTCCATCTACAGTTTCATTAGGATCATGTTTTAAATTATTGCTAACCCTTTCGCCATAATATTCATTAGAAATTTGTCTAAAAATTTTCTTCATTAATTTCGTGGAACTTTTATGGTCGGGTAGAACATATGCTAAATACTGATTTGCATAAGACGATGAATACAGTATAGAGTTAAAAATGTTAAAATTGTCTATGGACATTTTTTTTAAGTAATAATTTCTTTTTTTCACAAAAAAGGATTTATCTGTATGACGGTTAAGCAGCATATTTATATTCATATTCTTGTTTATTTCATCTACATCGCTAACTTTAATATACGTCATGTCACTATCTTCACTATCGAACGAAGAACACACATCACTTTCGCAAGAGCTGAAGTTATCTGATTTAACATTTAACGGCGCGCAACACACAGTACAGTTGCATAGGCTCTTATCTTTATGATCCACACTCTTGTAACAATCAATTAATTTCTCACAATGAAACATAGGCTTTAGGAAGTTTGTAATTTCATTATATCCCGATGAATTTCCAAACAGTAAAATGTCACTGTCTCCTGAGGAACTATTATAGTCCAGAAAATTCTGTTCTTGTTTTTTCATCTTTTTTAATCTTAAATTTGTAAAGAATTTGTCAATTTCTATTTTTTCATTACTGCCTATAGGATTATTTCTTAATTTCCTTTTTTCCATATTTTTTAATTTCATATTATTGTCTTTAAAATTTAATTTATTCCTAGTTTCAAAAAAAGTGTTATTGCCACCAATGTATAGGTTATGCTTCTTGTCAATTATTGAAATCATACCTTCATTCATGCACATTTTTTTTACTTTAATTGGTATTAGTTGCAAATTATTGGTAAACCAAAAATCTGTGCCCTTTTTTACGCTTTTCTTGTTTTTATCATATCCCATTGAACCAATAGTTGGAGACAATTTTAGGTAGGACGGGGTCCCAATAGCAAGGCTTCCATTTTCGTTATTTCCAAAAGTGTACGCATAGTAAGATTCGCACAATTTCCTCTTAAAAGTGTCCAATATTATTTTGTAATACTTGCTATAATCTGATATTACTTTTTTATAATGGTCGTACTTAAAATTAAAGGAAACAAATTTGCACTTGTTCAACTTTCTGTTCATTTTGTTAATATAAATTAGGTTATACAATAACAGATTGCTAGTATCCTTTTTGTCAACACGGGCGTAAACCGATTTTGCGCATTTGTCCTTCACGGTTTCTTCCTTCTGCGCGGGCAAACCATCTCTTGGCCAATCACTCGCGTTCATGTTCATGTGCGTGTTTTTCTTTTCCTTCTTTTGCCTTACATTTGGCTGTTCTTCCACAGTTTGTTCCACGTTTGGTGCCATTTTTGCTTCCATTCTTTGTTCACCTCCCTTATGATCACGTTTCACATCCTTGGGTTCATCAACATGTTGGACTTCTTTTTTTCCCCTACTTTTCTCATCAGCGCTCGCCTTCTGTTCAGACACATTTGTCCTTTTCACAAAATCTGCGGTCGATGGGAATGACTTATCCATCTCCCCCCCCTTCCGGTACACCTTGGGTACCCTCACATTTTGAACTGTCGGGTACAAGGACACAAAGCTGTTATTAATGTTTATAAGAAAGCTCTTATCTTCCAATTTGTCGTTTAGATTGATTTCTTTTAATACGGAGTTATCTTCAAGTTTTTCTTTCTTCGGTAAACTTGCCTTTTTTCTTTTAAAATTTTTGTCCATTTTATCCTTATCATCCGTTTTTTGAATTTTGTGAACCCTCTTTAATTCGTCCAAATATTTGTTAAAAAGTTTTTTCATGTTTATAAATAAATAATTCAAAGGAACTAAATATATGTTGTTGTTAAACTTTACATAATTTCTCTTAATGGTGCGAATTATTTCCAGGTACATCCATATTTCATATTTTTGTTTCAGCCACGCGTTGCTGGGCGGAGCATTGTCTTCCTTCAATGACATGTTTTTTCCCCCCCTTTCTTCGTTGTCCTCCACTAATTCTTTCTTCTCTCGTGGGTGACTACCTGCATGCTCCTCATTGTTCATGCTATCACTCTGATCCGTGGACCTTTTTTCATGTGTGTCATCTGTAATAATTTTGTTTTCCTCTTGCGTTACTTGTTCATGAAAATTTACCACGTTCAGCTTGGATAAAAGTGTTAGCACATACAAAATGTACGTAACGTATACTAAAAATGGGTGACTGTTTATGGAGTTTATGGGGTTTCCAAAAAAGAATACGATGAGGACAAAAACTTTCTTAAAACATTTCAGCGCTCTATGCGTGTTCATCAACATAAGGGATATATAACCTTTTATGAAAAAGTAGTAAATAAATATATGAAAATTATTTCTCATGGATAAAATGACGTTCTGAAATGATCTAAAAAAACTTAGTATTATCTTAACGTTGTAAATAATACTCGATTTAGCTGAGCTTGGGTGTTTATTGTTGTTCATCTGTTTAAAAAATGGAATTATCCTCAAAACAATTTTAAAGAAAAATTCTATTAAGTACACATTGTAATCATTCTCTAGCAGGATCATTTTAATCTTTTCCTTCATATTGCCCATCGAATCTTCCCTTTCAAAAATTGCATGTTCCTTTGCACATTTGTTCACTCCGTCTAGGTCGGTATCAGTTTCGGTTTGCGTTTCTGCTTCATTTTCTGTGTCCCTTTTATTTTCAGTTTCGTACTCAGTTTCGTCATTTCCCGTTTCGGCTTCGTTTCTGCATCCATATTCGTACTCATCTATATTAGGGTTATCACTTAGAGCATACCTTCCTTCTGTTCTTATTATTTCTAAGTAGTTCCTTGTCGAATAATCCAATGCGTTGTTCAGGAAAAAATCCTTTGCACTGGTTTCACCTGACATATCGTTCCTGCGGCAAACGCGGAATGTGTCATTTTGCTTCGGCTTGACAGGGCCATTCTTACCCACTTTGGTGAATTGTCTTTTTTTATTATTCATGTCGCATATTCTGTACTTATCCGTTCTAATGAATATGTAAAAAAATATATTTATTAGGTACACTTTCAAATCGTACGTTAGGAGGTTAAAGCTGTCCTTCATAAATATCGGTAGAATTATTAGTAGGTGAGAATAATGTGTTTCAATTATGTTCAGAAGCACGTGGAAAATGTTTTCTTCCATGAATCTATGCACCCCCAAAAATGGGAAATTGACACGCAGGCTTAACATGTTGTTACATGAGTGTAGCGCCATGCCTGGCTCTTTTAAATACTCGTTTGAATTTTCACAAAAGGCTGAAGCTTTTTTATGGACATCATTTAATAATTCACTTGTGTCTACCATTTTTGTGTCCCCCATGTCGCCATTCGAATAATTTACACTTGTTCCACTTTGAAGTTCGCTTAACCCGAAATTTCCCCTTTGACAAAATGAGAACAGAAAGTTAACAAAGTGAGCATATATCAGGGCGAACAAATCGCCATGAGCACTTCTGCCTTGCTTCAAATGCTGTATGTTCCTATTGGAAAAGTACGTGAGGATGTTGTCTGACGCCTGGGTAAAATCATGAAATGTAAATGTCCGTGGATTGGCATTAAAATGCATTTTTATCATGAGATGCACAAGATTTCGTTTTTTTTTCTTTTCAGCCTTGTAACGATAACGCTTTAAAATTTTCTTTTTCATCTTCTTGTTTTTGCACAAGGGTAACGAATCGTCGGGGATGTTATAATCGCCATTTTCATCTATCCATTCGATGTGTTCATTTTCGCTCACTTTTAAGTTTGCCTTCTGAACGCAACAGGTTTTATCTTTATATTCGTTTGCATTTTTTGTGTTACTTAATTCAATGTGGCTGCAGGACCAGTTCGTTCTGTCTTCCCCCTTGTTCAGAGAAAAAAAATCGTTTAGCAAATTCTGGGGCATATGCTGTAGTTCGTGGAAGATATAAAAGGGCAAATTTACTCCGCATATATAGTTTAAACAAAAGGCCAAAATAATTTTATACTTTTTAACCTTCCTTATAATTTTAAACAAATTTAAGTACTGAACGTTTAGCGGAATGTACTGTAAGACAAAACTTAGTGACAAAAACAAGTTAAAATAAATCGACTTGAGCAGATTCAAGTGTAAATTATCATTTGGCTCCCTCTGTTTGCTGCTTGAAAAGAAAAAGTGACAAATCCCACTGAATACACTTTCGTATGGGCAATTCAAATTTGTCACAAAGAATTCTAATATGCGTTTACAAATAAAGGCCAACAACAAACATACTGAAAATAGCAAAATTCTTTTAACATAAAACTTCTTCTTGTTGCAATAATTATATTTAATTTTTTTTAAATAATCAAAATCGATGGTCTCATTTCGATTATTGTTAAAAAACTTCACCAATTCTGCATGAGCACAATATTTTTTGTAAATATTTACATAATTGTCATAGACAACCCAGAAAAAGGTGTCAAAATTTACTTCATACTTGTTTAATAATTGTAGCAAGTTTCGAATGCTTAAAAAATTATTTAATTTTATTTCGTTCACTATTTCTAGTATTAATTTATTCAAGACAAGATAAAAATAATTTATAAAAATATCTCCATAGTTTTCATACAAATTGTAAATAAAGGCGTATTTATATGCCTTCTTTTCCTCTTCTTCTTTAGTTAAATCTTTATCAGTGCCCTGCACCTTATCGTACATGTCGCCACTACTCCTTTCATCTTCATCCAAACACGTTTTATCACTGAACGTATCTTTTGTGTGTTCCTCTTCCAGCATCTTCAAATAAATGTGTATATTATCACGCCGTATGTACACATCTTTGAAATAGGGAATGATAATATACCTGTTGTGTTGAAACAACTCCTTACTTGGGTTATTGTTTTTCTCACCATAAAAGTAAGTGTAAATATTAAAATAATGGTTAAACATAAAAATTATATCATTAGCGTTGGAATAGCACTCGTTCGGGGGCTTATTCTTCTTGTCCAAATTGAGAGAAAACATGTAATCCTTGTTCAGGTATAGCTTCTTCAGATTTATGTGCAAATTTGTGCTCTCAATAAAACTGATAAAACTTTTTGTGCGAATAAAATACGGAGACGAAAAAGAGTTCCTAATGTCAATAATTATTTTATTCTTCTTCCATTTGTAGTAGTGGCAAATGCTATTACTAATATTATGTGGCTCCTTCATTAGGGAGATGTACTTCATGTACGTTTTGTTATTTTTATGAACATTTAATATTCTTATTATGTTATTAATATATAAGAAGTTGTTATTACTGTGCTGGATGTAATTCCCTTTGGAAGGCTCCTCCTCATTGGTACCTCTGCTGAAGCTTATTTTGTAGTTAAAAAAATCTGAGCACTTGAACAGATGGAAAAAGAAAAGATGGAAAATCAAATAGAAGTTGTTGCACACGGGGATGCACAAAAAGCACAAGCCTCTGAATTTGTACACAAAGAAGTACGGACTAAGGTAATAGTAGCTGTTGTTTTCCCTTATGTAGTTCATATAATCTGAGATGAACTCATACAACTTCTGGTCAATTATTTTTATGTATATATTTTTGTATTTGTATCCTCCTTCCAGATTGCAACTGTTCAGTGTGCTTGCCCCTTCCTCAGCAATCGCAATGCCGAAATTGTTACACCCACTGACGCTGGTATTATCAGCTCTGCCGTTGGTGGCGTCGTTCCCTACATTCGCGTTACTAGTGCATGGCTCCGAATGCAGCGTGGAAGACACATTCATGATCTGTAACTTGGCCTCCACATTACTGCTCTCTTTCCCGGTACCGTATCTCTCATTAAAAATTGAGCGACGCATTATGGACGAAAAGTTTAAATCGTTGCTAAAAACACTATCCTGATCTGAATTCTTTACACTTGTCTTTTTGAGAAAACCACTCGTAATAGCTAAAATATTCATTTTTTTTTCTTTACAAAAAATGCTGTTTCTTTTTTTTATTTTTGCGATATAGTGATAAAAACTTTTTATAAATTCTTTACACTTGGTGTCAAAATGGCACTGCAGCTTTTTTATTTTGCTGTACGTCTTTACCATGTCAACCAGAAGAAGCAAAATGACCTCCACAAAATGAGTCCTTTCGAAGTAGGAAGGCACGTGCATATCGATTGGAAAATTTTTCAAACTTTCACCAGGGGTTATAAATAAATTTTCTAGTACTATATCACAACTGCAGCACATGAAATTCAAGAAAGGATTATTTTTCGCGTTGGATCCACTGGAGCAGCTGTTGCTACATATATATTTCTTGGGAATGTATACAAAGTAGAGCCTATTATAATTTAAATGCAGAAATAGCATATCCATCATATATTCAAATGGCTCATTCCTGTTCAGTGTAATTTTGTACGAAACCGCCTTTTCTGTGCTCACATATGTACTCAGCAGTAACTTCTTTCTCCCGTCGTGTATTTTAAACATATCAAAATGGATGTTTATACATTTTTGATTCACAAAGGGGCTTATTTCCCCTATCGGTTTGTGTTGCACAAATATTTTAAAACTATCTGGGGTATCATTTTGGTATATTTCTTCTTCATCGTTTGGCACATCAATTGGGGGGTTTCTCAAATGATGATGTCCTTCTTCATTTTCTTCTTCTTCTTCATCATCACCATCACCCTTCTGTACTTGCTCTTTCTTCCTATTAATTTCCCCCCTGTTTTGTTTCTCTAGATGATTGTTGCACTTGGCATCTTTCACATTGTTGTCCGTTCGTGTGGCTTCATGGAGAGGCGAAAAATCCCCATTGGGGCTGTCCCTGCTTGTCTCCACGTCACCATTCTTCCTCATGGTGCGACTCAACTTGTTCAACGCCATTTGTATATGTCTGGCATTATCTGCAAAGCTGTACCTTTTCAATATTGGTTCCACCCCTTTGTCATTTGTGAGTTCTTCCGATGGGGTTAACGATTTATCCTCTTTTGACTTATCACCTTCATGTAGTACCTCCTGTTTATTCTGGCACAATTCTTCACTTTCCTTTCCGCTTCCCTCTCCGCCGTACTCATCATATCCCTTGGTGATACCCCTGGCGTGGCTAACCACCTGGTCGTACAGTTTATTCTCCTTCTTAATCACTTCCTCCTGTGCACAATTCAAATTGGTCACTTTCAGAATCAGTTTGTCCATTTCAAACGGAACGAAGGCATCATGTATGCCAATGAAAAATGGTTTCTTGAGCTCATTTTGTGTTGTAAAACCAAAGGGTCCCTTTTTCCCCTCCTCGGACTCATTCAAATGTTTAGTGCTATTTTCTTCATTCATATAATTTGGCGATCCAAAATGGTTATAATTTTTGTTCAGCAAATTAGTGTCTTCCCCTCTTTCCTTTTTAAAAGTTTTATCTGTACTTTTGGACCGATTAGAATTGTCATTGCTTTCCACTCGTGTCTCACTTCCATTTGGGAATGTTTTCTTCTCCTTTTTCATTTTACCATACGATTCATCGTAATAACTGGCAGGATATATATAGCCTATTTCTTTATTTTTCATGGTTTTTAAAACGTTAATTATGTGCACCATGTTCTCTTTCATCGTCTGTACCAACTCGTGGTCTGCTTGACTTTCAATTTTTTTACTCACATAATACTCTTGGTTATTATTACTCCTTTCGATGGTGTACAATTTTACGTAATTCTGCACGTTTTCCTCAAATTTGTCTTTATTTTCCAAATTGAGCTTGTACAAATCGACTCTAAAAAGGGCTATGTTGTTCAGGTCAAACTCGACATGATCGGTTCTTTTCAATTCGGAGTTGAGCGACTGGGTCGTTTTTGCTTCGGACTTATCATCGCTCTGATTATCCTTATCGTTGTAATTATTGTGCTCGTTATCGTTTTCGTTGTCCTCACCATTCGTATTGTAGTAATGGCTGTTCTTATTGCTGTGTCTGAACTTTATAGTCCTCACCACCTTTCTCCAGAGCTTTCTGCGTAGCGTTACTTTTTCTTCATAAGCATGGTTCCCCTTCCGGAACAAACGGTTATTCATTTCGAAGAACGATTTGTTACCCTGGTGATCGATGCTGCCCTTTTTGCTACTCGTGCGCGAAAGAGCGGTGCGGGAACTTTCAAACAAAATAAAACAAAAAACTATCATATTGTTTTTTATAAAATAATTACTATTCCCAACATTTAACACACTTTTTATATACCTTCTCCGCCATATGTAATGAGAATTCACAAGGTTATTATTCATGTACGCATTTTTAATAGCTCTCATGGTACAGTTGTAGATTTTCTTTTCTTTACTTTCTTGTAAAAAAAATTTATTTAATTTTTTCTGTGAGTAGGTACAAATGTCTAAAAACTCGTTGACATATTTCACGAAGGTTACGTCCTTCTGATTTACATTAATGTTCGCATTGAAGATGGCGTCTTCTTCAATTTTCTTATCAAAGCTTAGGCATAAGCAGACGAACAAGTACGTCGCATACACGTTTCTGTGCTCCAAGGAGTACTTTACCTTATCATCAAAGTGTTTTTTCCCTTCGGCCTGTTCATTTTCACCATCCCCCTTCTGTGACCCGTAGAGCGAAACAAACTTATTTATAAAAAACAAAATGGTAAATATATTATACAAAATTGACTTAATTTTATAATTATTGTTCAAAATGTAGAAACACATAACATTCGCCATTTTGAAGTCATCAAATGCGTTGCAGTTTAAATGGTTTCTACAAAAATCTTCAATGTTTATAAAACTCTTTTTTATTAAATATATCATTTTTTTTCTTTCTGTTGATAAGTTCCCCAGTAGCTTTTTGTTCAGGTGAAATAATTCAATTGACTTTTCCTTTACTGTTTCATTCGTGTGAAAAGTTTTTTTCACAATGTTATCATTCACTGGGTAAAACTCACTGGAGTTATCCACATCTTCAAAGTACACATGAAGACAAACATTCTCAAGAATATATTTTAGACGCACAAAATTATATATGTTCTGTATTATGCTCATTTGTTCATAAAAATTGGCAAATTTGGACTCGTCTCGCAGAAAGTAATTATAATAACTACTGAAGTAAAAATTACTCTTATTGTTATAGTACTCATTGTTCATTTTTTTAAATAGCTTCAATAGAAAATTCAGAATGTCGATGTTGTATTCTTCACTTAGGTATACCAATGCATTTTTCACCTTTTTCCTGTTCGCGCATTGCGCGACATAGTATACGCACTCATCTTTACTTTCGGGCTTCCTCTTTAGGACTACACAGAGGCAAGGGGGGAAGGGGAGAGGGACGTGAGAAAGGAACAGGTTTGCTTGTGTTATGGATAACACGTACGAATTCGCGCGCAGGTATTAGCATAATACGAACACATATATCGATCGGCAAAAAAGATGGGGGCTATCCCTTCAGCCATTTTCACAAGGGGAAGATAAGACTCCAACCCTGTGCACAAGCACAAAACGTTCACACAACACAAATGCATACATAAAATACATAGGCATACATACGAAAATGGAAAAAAATGCACACTGAGCTCATGTCACTAATGGTGTTGTGTACATCACTTCAAAGGAATAACGTTATCTTATGTCCATATCATGCATGCTTTTATAAAAACAAACAAAGTGTGGATTCTTTATGCAGACGCAATTTTTTCACCATAAGACATGTCGAGTATACCAATTTTTGCTCATAACTGGTGACAGTTACACAGTGGAGGCACGATAAGAATGTTGTGCAACGAATTTGAGGACAACAGGCACAGTTTTCGCAGCTGAGAAGGGGGTCTTTGTCACGGGCGTAAAATATGCACACAAACATGCATGCATGTATAATATATATAGACAGATACATATATATGCACATGCGCCGCCAAGTGCTGGCGCTACTAAACTCGTTCTACACACTGTTCTCATCAAAAAATTTTGCAATTACATTCATATATGACGAAGGCCTTCTGGCAGAAGCTAAGGTTATCCTCCTTCACAAAGTGGCATATTAAATTTTCGTACAGTTCATTTGTGTTGTTTTTATAAGCTTTGAAGTTCGCGGAATACGATTTGCAATTTCCCATTCTGTCTTCCCTGAGTTACAGCATTATTATGTATCCTGTTGGTATGGCAAACAATTCGAGCGATAGGTTTGGCTTGGGTATAATATATTCTGTTTTGTTTTTTTTTTTTTTTGTTCTCTTGATTATTTTTTCACTGTTCACCCCATTAGTGTTCGCATTATTTATTATATTAAGTGAGATTTCTCAATATGGTTGTTCTAAAGTTTTTTTTTTTTTTGTTTTCCCTCTCAATTTCGCATTTACACTTTTGCAATTCACATGATCCATCCATGCAATTGTGTGTCACTTAAAAAATAGAGAACAAAACAAAAGGAAAAAAAATTAGAGCCAAGAACAAAAATGAACCTTGTGGTTTCACAATGTGTGTGCAATTCTTCACTGTATGTGAGAGAGCATTTTAAAAAGAAAGTCCCGGAAGGGGAAATTACATACATACATGCACAAGTTGTTCTGTACAAAAACAAGATGAAAAAAACGCCATGCAATCTGCGTACAATTGGGCATACGCACATGGCGGGTTTTAACTTAATTTTGTTTGCGAACTGGTGTATGCAGGCGTGCAAGGACATACATTCGGCTAAATTCGCAACATTCGGGCCTTGAAGAAAATATAAGAAAGAATATATATGTACATCCTTCTTTACTTCTTTAAGCGAATGCAAAAAAAAAAAAAAAAAAAAACACAGGTACAAATTCTTAGTACCAATATAGGAAAAAGGCTAAGGGATTTGCTAGGCTTACATATTTGTTACATATATCTTTCAGAGCAATACATTTGGAAAAAAAATGTACAAGTAAAAAATGGCAAAAAAAAAAAAAAAAAAGGTGAAGAGTTTGTTCACACCAATTCGTTTTTGACTGAGAACTGGAATGAAAAGGAGTATAAAACGCAAATGGGGGAGCTTAAATCAAACAAGGAATAAAAATAAAACAAAATTGTGTTCGCCTGAATAAATTTTTAAAAAAAAAGAAAAAGAAATGTCAACACTATATATACATAAAATGAATGCACAGCACAAATTAGTGCATAAAATGACCGTGTAAGAATTTACAAACTGAATTTATATATTTCTACACGCATACGGGTATACACGCCACTGCGTGTTATATGTTCTTCTTCGGGCGGGGGGAGTGTATAGATCTCCTAAAAGTTCCCTCCAATTTTTGCCGTTATAATTATATTTCCATTTGTTACTTTATCATCTTTTCATCCTTTTATGTATTTTTTCCGGAAACAAACTGATGACATGCTAACAATCAAATGAAAGGGTTTGCCCCTTCACATTTCTCGAAAAGGGTTATACTCCTTCCTGCATGTGGTATTTTTACACATATATATAAAAGGCTTTTGAAAATTCCTTGGAACATCAGTTTTTTTTTTTTTTTTTTGTTTTTTTTTCCCAGATTGTCAAGTTTCATTCATATACGGCATTTACAAAAAAAAAAAAAAAACTTTTTGGGTTTTGCGCACGAGAGTGAATTATTTTAATGTCATTTCGTGTTCCAACTATTCTTTTCCTTTTCCTAAGATACGCTTAACAGTGTGTTAATTGTTTTCTTTGTCAAGCGGAAAGATTATTCGCCGAGGTTGCTCTTTCAAATAAAAGAACACACACCCATACGGCGTACATGTGCTATATATACACAAATCCCGCACGTTTCTATGCGTACAAATAGTGATTCCCCAATTCGGGGGGGTTTTAATTTAAAAAACAAATAAAAAAAAGGATTACAAAGTTTTGCCTGTTCGATGCATAAACAAAAAGACGTAAACAAAGGGAATTGCCTTGTGCAATTTTATTTTTTCGTCAATGCATAGAGCACTTGTGGACGGGCAAAAGGGATGACACACTGATTGTTATGCATGCTACCTCAAAATGCCCTGGGGGAGCCGGGGGGCATCACACGTAAAGCAGAATGCTTAAAAAAGGTTAAGCTGTACATATAACAGCATACTCGAATTATAAAGTAATTTTGTGTAGAGGGGGATAAACTATATGGACGGATTACTAATGGGCATGGAGAACAGTAGAACAGAGGGGTAAATAAATGCGTCGAATAAACAAGGCAAATGCAAAAAAAAAAAAAAAGTTTTAATTATAAACAAAAGTGGAAAACTAAACAAAATCGCTAGCAGTTGTGATCCTCGCTGAGATCATGGCGCTCATCGCCATCACCACCGCTCCTGTAAACTTTCATGGCTAGCACTTTCGTCCGTCTAGCGGATGGGGGGTTCTCTTGAAAGAAATACTGCAGTGGGGGAAAAAAAAATAAAATAAAACAATAAAATATAGAGCAGTTAATAAAATAAGGGGCTAACACCCCGTTTGAATATACTACACACTGAAATGCACACAACGCAGGGCGAACGTCTTAAAACCCAACAACTGTTTTCGCACTTACGTATAAGAAAAATTCGAAATGCTTCCGCGAGTAGCAACTCAAAATACACTCCGCATTCAGGCGCATCACCACGTTGTACAAATTGCTCAAGTAACAAAAAATGATGACCGTTAGCTTGTCTATTTTGTCGTAAACAAATATCTTCTTGATCACTTTTAGGCACTCGATTAGAAGCTTCTTTTCGACAGTCGTTAAAAGCGTGCTGGCCTTGTGAACCTTCTGGGGAAATGGAAAAAAAAAAAAAAAATAGCAATATGAAGGGAAAAAACACATAAAATGGAAAGCGAAAAAAAAAACAAAAAAAACAAATTTGCACTCAAATGCGCTATTATATATTCGTCTTACAAAAAGGGGAGTAAAATTCTCCGTGTGACTGTTTAGCGACTTGACGTGTTCAATAGTCAGCCGGGGCTTCTCCAGGTATCTACATATGTTTACATATTTTGTATCTAAAATAACATCTTTAACAGGGACAGTATTGATGCAATTTTCATTAAAAGAATTGCACTTATAAAATTCTGTGAACTTTGCATTTTTGGTAAATTCCTTTATAACAATATTTTTTTTTACATTGGACGAAAAGGATAATCCGTTTTGCTTCAAAAAGTGAATCATGTCTATGTAGCAGTCGTCCTTTTTTTCGCTTAGGTACTGTTTCGATGGTCCAATGGTTTCTAGGCACTCACAAAAAGGCGCCCCAGAAACGCTGTAACGATAACACTCCTCACTAACAGTGCTGGCCGTGCTAACACTGCCACTACTGGCGCCCTTGTCTTGGTATTTCTGTGCAAATATTTTGCAGCCTCTTTCCCGGCGCGCCTTGAAATACAAATGTGGGAAGGACAAGTGACTGCAACACAATAAACACTTTTCTTGAAAATCCAAAAACTGGTAAAATAATTTAAATAAAATGTCCATGTCTTGGTAGTGAAATTTTCTTATCTTCCACTGATTGATATATTCAATGACGTATTCCTTTTTTTTTTTTTTGTATTCATTTTTTTTCTCGCTTACGAAATTTACATACTCATCTATATTAATCTTCCCCCTAGCAGCAAAATGGATAGTTCCCTTTGTGGCCTCACCACAATGTCCTCTTCCCTCACCCAGTTGGGCGGAAATATTTTCCTTTTCAAACTTCTTAGTAGTAACATATTCGTTTTTTATTTCATCTTGAATTTCACTAAATATATTTCCAATACATGATCCGTTGTATTCACTCGATGTGTCATATGATGAGGTGTTTAAATCGAGCGACTTTACCATAAGGGGTTAGGGGGGAGTAGGCACTGTCACATGGATGTACCAAGCAAGTATGTAGCTCCTTTGCACATGCATCAATGAGAAATGCGCAAAAGTCGGGGGGTTACAACCCAAAATTGCCCTTTTACTCTCACTTCCATACGAAGGAAGGGAGGGGGAGGGAAGAAAGAGGCTACCCAGTCGCGTTCTATTTCCGTACGTCGTTCTAAACGCGACACACGCGCTGCATGTGGTATGTTGGAGGATGCTTGAACAGGTGTGAAGCGACCAAAAACGTTGCAATTGGGAGATTGAAAAATGTGACAATGTTGAGCAGTCGCCCCTTACACGTACATTTGTACACGTTTGAATAAGCGTATGCCTGTGCGCGTAACCACTTCTAGTCCAGGGAAAAGCATAAAGGGTAATACTTTCTGAAGCACGCCAGCATAACGTAGATGGTAAAAATGGGTTTGTGTTTCTACATACAATTTTTGCATGTCATTTTTCCCCTTTGTGCAGCGTTCGCATGGGTTAGGCGGCAAATATAGCTGAGCGAACTAGGAGAAAAAAAAAAAAAAAAAACACATACGTATAGTGCATACGCAATGTGTTTTCAGCACGTATATGCACGTAACTCACAACTGGCTGTGCATACGCTAAGGTACAAGCTGCAGGACGCGCATTGAGTGGGCGCCCCTTCAAAACAGTACAGAGCGCAATTGGAAAAAAGTGCAGCTCGGTGTGGAGCTCGCCGATGGGTACCAATGCTCCAGTTAGTGCTCGCAAACGGGCTGAAGTAAAAAGCGGCCCAATTGAAACAAAATAAAAAAATACAGATAAAGGAACAAAACTGACGCAAGTTCCCCCAATCCGTGGGTACCCCCTCCCGTACAATTTTTACGCTTCAATATTTACGCGGCCAAATCCCTCGAATTGGCCACAATGGGAAAACACAAACACAGCAAAGATAAGTTGTACATTTTGCAGTCAGAGTATAGAAGAGATGCCTTGATAAAGAAGCAACACAAGTCCAGGAATTCAACCTTCCTCCCTTTTAATTACTGGTGAGCAGTTTTTCCATACATATGTTACACTGTCCCAAGAGAAAAAAAAAGAAAAAAACACTACACGTATGGGGCAGCACAAGAGCGTTCTCACGTGCACGTATATAAATATATATAGATGTATATGCGTTTATGTATGTACCCGCTGAGGGCTACATTTTCCCCCGCCACTGTATTTCGTTGTGCGCCTATGTGAAGGCATGTCCTGATGCAGTGGGTCCAACCCCTATACCTGACTCATGTCACCAACATTGTTCCCCTTCTTCAGCTGCATAAGTCTAAGGCCCTTCAGCGACCCCTACTGTGATGAAGATGGAAGGCTGTACGATAAAAAAAGTGTTTTAGAACAAATGGCCAAGGGGGAGGAGGAAAGGAAAAAAACAGAACCAAGGATTGACCTGAAAAATCTAATTAAAGCAAATTTTTACAAACACAATAATGAGTACATATGTCCAGTGACGAGAAAGTATTTTAATCAACACTCAAAAATTATATTAAATAAAAAAACGGGGAATGTGTACTCCTCAGAAATATACAAATTATTTCAGAACAAAAAGGACATGTTTGATCCAATTACCCATGACCCGATGGAAAAGACAGACTTGATTGTCCTACAGGACCCCCTACATAAAACAACCAAATCAAATGAACTCAGCCAAAACTTTCTTCAGGACAAAAAAATAAAAGCTCAATCGATTCAGGATAATGGGGCCATTATGAGTATCCTTCACGAAGTGCAAAAGAAAAAGGGGGATGTAAAAAGTGGGCAAGACAAATATGAACATGCCCAAATGGAGAAACATCCTTGGGGGAAAAAGGGAGACAAAAATGATACAACTCAGAATAAAGAACAAGGCATAGATGGAACACAAATGGAAAGAGGAGATGGAAAGTACCTGTTCTCCTCTCTAAACTATGCTGGCCAAGATGATCAAGAGGATGACAGCGAAAATGAAATAAAAATAAAATGTGAAAATTATAGTGACAATAAATTAGCGCAAAGTGTAACTTCAACCATATCGAATGTTACATACAAACATAGCTTTGTATACCTTCCTGAGAATCAAGTCCAAGATATGATTTATGAGCAGGTTCGAAAAAACAAAAAAAACAGTTACGTGAGACTTATAACGGATATAGGCATGATCAACATGGAACTCTATGCCTCCACTTTGCCAAAGCTGTGCCACAATTTTTTATTCCTCAGTGAATATAAATATTATGACAAAACGGACATTTTTAAAAAGGATAAAAAGGAGGATATCGTTTATTTTGGTTCTTGTAAAAATAATTACCATTTAGCGGCATCCGGATTTTATTGGAGAAAAAAATTAAAAAAACACAAAATGAGAAACAAAATAAATGACGAAAGGGCTATGCAAGCACTCAAAGAATCCATAATGACGGTACATAGCGACGACGATAGTGATGTGGCAATTAAATATGTGAAACATAGTGGGCACAAACCCCCCTCGGAGAACAGCTGCTTTGGAAATGTGTACCTCTTTAGGTACTACAATCAGATGTACTCAAACATGTTCTACATTTCCCTGGCGGAGAAGTACACCACGGGGGATGCCTGCGTGGGAAAGGGTGAGTCCGACGTGTCTGCAGACTTCAGAGCATTTGCGCTTCCTTGAGAAAAAGCAACCGCCGTGTGTGAACATAAGTTCTGACGAAACCAGCCAACAAATCGTTACCCTAATTGCGCGCATTGTTTTACGCTACCACATATATATTTTTTTCCCCCCTTGCGCATTCCTCACGCAGTTGTAGGCGGAAATGAAACCCTCGAGAAGCTGAAAAATCTGGACCCCACTTCAACTAGTGATGTAATATTTGAAATATGGACAGAAATTGCGTTGTCCCGGATAAGCCACATACGTGTGTTTTGATCTTAATGTACCACCCAAGGGTATCACACGCGTTTGTCCACGCCGCTACACAAGTGCTACACAATGCTACACTTCCCCACCCCCCTTCGCAGACTCAGCACACCCTGAACGAAGTCATCATTTACACAAACCCGTTCAAAGACGTCGTCAAAGAAATGAAAGCAAATATGAGAAAAAAAGAGGAAGAGGAGAAGAAGAAGAAGACAAGCGGACAGGAAAATAACACAGATAGCTACATAGACGATGAAAAATACGTCCAGAATAAAAATGATAGTATCGGTAAGTACATAAATTGGAACGACTTCAGGAAAAGTGCAACGGAAGCAACCAACGCAACGAACACCAGTGATGAATTGAGCAAACCCAAACTAAGCCCTTTAAAAAAGGAAACCCACTCAAAATCTAAGCAGAACAGTAGAATGAATTTTTCCTTCTGGTAGAATTAAAGCAGTTCCTCCATGTCAAGAAAAAAAAAATATACAAATAGATAGAAGTTTTTTTTTTTTTTGTCAGCCAAAAGGCATAATTTCCAGGAACGGAATAAAAAAGGCACGTATCAGTAACTGCTTCACCCTTAACGGCTTTTTTTTTTTTTTGGCGAACACTTTTTTTTAGATTCTGTTTGAGAACGTGATATTACGTCACGCATATGTAACTACAATGCTTTGTACGGTTAAGTTACACTGTCATGCTGCATATGCAAACTGTCCTCTCACAGTTGTGTATGTTTTTTTTTTTTTTTTTTCATTTTCCCCCTCATTTCTCAATTTTCCTTTTTTGTTTTTTTGGTAATTTTTTTTGGGAATTAATGTTTTTTACTTTCACGTTTACACGCTCACTTTTATTTCACTTTTGCGTTGACTTTTTCTTCTCTTTCCCTTGCGCGCGTCCTTACCCATTGTCCCCATTTGGCAATTTTTACATAAACATTTTTTGCCTACAAAATAAATAAATAGCCAGTCCCCCCTCTCACAACACATCCCCGCCATATATATGTTTGCCTTTTTTTTTTCCATAAAATGTTTGTATTTTAAATTTTGGCATATTTTGCGCGACCGTTTTTTTTGCTAATTCTTCCTTTTTTTTCAAAAATCGTTTTTTTCGTATGTATATATAAAATTAAAAAAAAAAAAAAAACAAATTTGATGTTTTTCCTTTTAATTTTAAAATTGTATGAAAACAGAGGGAAAAAAATATATATATTCGCCATATTGTATATATAAATATTTGGGGAAAGCGCTTTTTTTTTTTTTTTTTTTCATGCAATTAAAAAATTTTTTTTTTATATATATTTTTGTTTATACCAAACGGTACTTTTTTTTTTTTTTCCTTGTTTTCCTTTTGTTTTTTTTTTTTTTGTCCCGCCTTTTATATTTATAACTATTTAGATTCTAACTAGAAAAAATAGAAAACATAAAAAGTACAGGCATTTGAATTAGTGATGCAGATAATGCATTGTAACTTTTTTTTGTTGTTTTTAATAATTTAATATTCACTGAAAAACAACATAAAAAAGTCATGTATATTTTCGGACAGCGTGAAATCAGCGCAGTCGTGATGGGCAACGTCCGCATGTATTATAAATAGGTAAAAATATATTACGCATGCAGGTTAAAGGCATTTGCGTTGTTTACATTTGTGTACGTACTACACTACACTAGTGAACTTACCCAAAAGTCACACTTGGGTAGATAGGCGAACAGATAAGCAATCGGAAGAAACCATTTCTCTCATGAATATGTTACCCAGAAGTTTTCACAGAAAGGGCACAGCACATGGATTGATAGAAAAAAAAAAAAAAAAAAAAAAAAAAAAAAAATACAACAGCGTAGAAAGAAGCCAAATCAGTACTTCTCTCACAAATTTGTATCCAAAGGGTAGATTTTTCCTTTTCCGTCCTGGCACCTGTCCGTGCGTTTTCCCCCCTTTTTTTTTTTATAACACCTTTCAATATGCATAAATCTTGAGCTTTTCCTCGACAATGCAGTAATGAAATGCGTTTTTAAAAAAAATAACACACTTTTAACTTGAAGAAAAAAAAAAAAAAAAAAAAAAACGCACTTGCTTATTTTTGCTTACATTGGGGAATAGTTATGGATAATTAGAGAAAGGAACAAGAGAAGAGGCGTATAATTTAGAACCTAATTAGAAGCACCTCATCACCCCCCCACACACATACACACATAGGTGTGCAGCCTTAGAGGAGCAAAATCCTAGAGGTGTCAAGACCACACAGCGCAAAAGGCCAGGGCTTTTAAAATGCGGGTCGAGTCAGCAACGCGCACATGACGCCAAATGCCCCCTGCCTAGTAAAATTTAAGATTCATAAGAAATGGAAGATTTTGCCTATATAGATAAAAATGTTTATATAAATCTTCTTGTGACCATTATAAATAAATGCAAAGAATATCTTCTAGGGATAGGAATATTGAAATTGCTCTTTTGCTTATGCATAGTGCTCATTAGTATCATCTTTGCTCGTCGTAAAAACAAAAAGAAGAAAAAGGTCAATATATATATACAGATAAATAATGTGCGCCACGGAAACGGCAAAAAGGAAGCCGAGCTAGCGGAGGACCAGAAATGTTGCGCGGCCAATGAAGAAGCACAAATAGTAGAACCCACCCTTTCACAAACGCGTGAACACACACATGTAGAACAAATGAATAATGAATTTTATCATATAACGTATAGCCCACATATATTTGATATAAAAAGTATTAACACAACGGAATTGTGTAACGTATGCAATGAAAGCATCTACTCATTTATTTTTTTCAAAAAAGACATTTTCGAATGCGTGGTGTGCAGAAATAAATGCCACATAGAATGTGCCCCAAACTCAAACTTGATGACCTGCAAAACGACCGTGTTCTTCAAAAATAAACATAAGTTTATAAGAATTAGGAATTGCATGTGGAATAATAAATGCAATATTTGTAGTAAAAAATTTTCCTACTTCTCCTTTCCTCCCTTTGTCAAACAGTATATATATAAATGCATTTGGTGCAACAAATATTTTCATGTCCACTGCATAGCGAGAGTTGCAAAAAAAAAAAATCAAATACATGATAAAAAAAAACAAGTGAAGGATGCAATTTGTACATATGGAAATAACAAGTATGTCCTTCTCCCGTATGAAGTTGCCATTAAAGAAAACGTCCTTCTAGACTTCTTGACCAATGCTTACCACCGTGTGAACGAGGCAACAGTGGGCAAGGATGAGGTGGTACTCAGTTACACCGTCAATGCTTTCGATGAGACGCCCCATCATAATGGAACGGGTCAGTTGAACCCACAAGAAACAAACGCAAAAGAGAAGAAACCGGAACAACACACGAAAGGAAGAAAATCATCCCTTCTTAGCAACCACGCACCAGATGAAAAGCTCTGCCTGGACTATATAAACCACTTTTCCATGTTTCACAAAATGAGAAAATTTAAATCATTCCACAATTGTTTAAAAGCAAAAAATAATATAATCCCAGTGCATGAAAACTTTCTTCTGAATTTCTTCCCCATGCATTTACCAATCTATGAAATAAAAAGTAGTAGAAGAATTCTCCTCATTTTTCTAAATGTAAAAAGTGGAGGCCAAGTTGGAAAAAAACTCTACCAAGAATTGCTCATGTATTTTAACCCCCTACAAATCATAAGTATAAAAAGTGAAAAAAATGTGTTAAATGCCCTCAATATGTATAAGGAAATGATGTGCCTCAACAGAGTAATCATCCTTCTATGTGGAGGGGACGGAACCATAAGCATCTTCGTCGACACGTTATTAAAATTTTTTGCAAATGAAGTTGCCATGGATACTCTGCAGGCAAAGAACAAGGGCAAATATAACAACAAAATGTTTGGGGATGATAAAAAAAATGAACAAGTTCTTGTCTCCACCAAAAATACATTCCTAAATAAAACCATCATGAACATTACGGCAAAGTTGAAACACAATAAAGACGCACTTAGGAAAAAGTGGGCAAATAATATGACCTCACAAGCAAAAAAGCCAAGCACTTTTTTTTTAAAAAAAAGAAGTGAGAAGAATGCTGATGGGGAAAATGCAGACCATTGTAGTGACGATGACGATGATGAGGGTCACATAAGTGAGGAAAACGCCGAAACGTACTTTGGGAATGACTCCTGTTCAGCGCACGTGTGGGGCGAAAATCAAAGTGATGAGTTCGCGCCGAAGCTCATGCCCAATGTAAAGGGTGCGTTTGCAGGCGGTAGACGCATAGACGATTCCGCCACCCTGAATGATGAATTGAAGGGAGACTTAATTAGTCAGTTGAGTGGCTACTTAAATGAAGATCTGCGTCAACACCTGAGTAACGATCTGAATAGCGAAATGAATGGCTGGAGCTCTGGGCAAAGCAGCCCCAAGGATCTGGCCAAATGGGGTACAGAAGCCAAGTACGGAAACGGAAAGTATCTGTACATCCTGGAAAAATTGAGGAACTTCAAAAAAAAAGGAGATGAAAAGGAGGACAATGGAGAAAACGGAGGTGAACTCTGCGAAGACGAAGCCTACAAGGGAAGCACCGTGAAGAGCTTCCAAAATGAAAACTCCATGATGGACAAATACTACAATAGCAATACACTCTTATATAGTAATTGTACAGAGAATAATAATGAGGACTCCTATTTTGAAGCCCGAAGCGGGCAGGAAAATGAAAAAATGTTTGACAATATTCTTTACCATGATTATAAGGAAAAGTCCACCAGTTGTTTACCAATGAAAACCAAATTAAATGAAAATTCTCCTTCCTATTGTCAGGAGGGTAATGAAGGAGTGAACCCAAATGATGAACCGGACGGGACCTTGGGGCCCAACCAAAACAAGGTAGACAATAAGCAGCACTCTGGTAATGGTACCAGTTCGAACTACAGTAATGGAAATTCACTTAACAGCGGCACCGCTGATTGTTATGGCGGCACTCCAGGGTATCTCTGCAATGGGGACGATGTGACACCCCGCCAGGGTGCCTTCCCGGGTGCTTTCCAGGATTGTTGCGAGCATAATTACGAGCATAATTGCGAGGGTAATTGCAAGGATGATTGCCAAGGGGATCTAAAAGGGAAGACCCCCCTGAATGATGGACTCTCCAAATTGGAAGCGGTAGATCCAGAGCGAAGTGATGAAGGCGTCATCTTCCAAATAGATAATGGGTACAAAGTTGTGCACTCAAAGGAAAAAAAAAAAATTATAAAAAACGTTACCAAAGGTGAAGATAAGGAAAAAATATCACACAAACATTCTCTGGAATCGTACATAGCATCTACACCTATCGGTATACTCCCGCTAGGAACAGGAAATGATTTAAGTTACAGTCTAGGATGGGGGTGCGGGTACAATAACGACCCATTGATGTACTTAAACCAAATAAAAAGTGCAAAAAATAAATACATAGATGTATGGAACATGAAAGCTTATGACCTAAACAACAATATCATTTTAAACAATAGCTTCATAAATTATTTCGACTTTGGACTAATCTCCAGATTAGCTCTCCATTTTGATAATATCAGGAAAAAGTTCCCCCATTTTTTTAATAGCAGAATTGGAAATAAAATACTGTATGGAGAAGTAGGGTTCAGGGATCTCTGCTTCAATACATACAAATATAAATTAAACAAAAATATAAAACTTTACTGTGATGGGAAAAAGGTCAAAATTGATGAGGACATAGAAAGTGTGTGTTTGATTAACATCCCCTACTTTCTTGGAGGAATTAAAATATGGAAAGATGATGAAAAAGATAAAAGCTACCATTCTGATATTGATAGGCAAAAAGAGGAACATGTTAAAAGGAAGACAAGTAAAAAGAAAATGAAGGAACCACAAATGGATGGAAACAAATCAAATAACACCTCCAGCAATAGCAGCTTTATTGGATGCTCAATGAATGATAATGTGCATAATGAAAATAACGTAGGAGTTCTTTCGAACAGTTTCAGCGAGGGAACTGGCCATCCTTTTGATGACCATAAAAAAATGGCCATGGCAGAATTTATAAAAAGTGCTGCTTTAGAACATTCATCTGGGGAAAATCTCAACCCTTCGGAGTTTTTCCAAAATGAAAAAACAAATGAGATTACACCTTCACAAAATGAAGGAGTCAATCATCCACAACAGGAACAGAATCCTTCCCCCTCAATGAATGAGCAGTCATTCGACTATAGCAACATATACAAATCGCACAGACTGGACTTTTACAGGCAAAAAAAACGGAAGCAAAAGTACAGAAAGCAAAAGATGGATGACAAAGTTATTGAAGTAATCGGATTTCGTAATATGTTCCACATCCTTCAGGTGCAGATCGGCATGTCCAGTGCGATTAAACTCTGCCAGGGCAGTGACATCAAGGTTAAGATTGACAAAACGTTTATTCAAAACAAGAATAAAATTTACTTCCAGTACGATGGAGAGCCAGGCTTTCTCAACATTCATAAGTTGCATTTCACTCATAAGTAAGGCGCAGCGCGAACGGACGGTGAAACAGGCCCACCCGCCATTTGTCCATTTTTCCATTTCCTTGACTCCCCCTTCGTCCATACCGCGTTTCCAATTCCTCCCCCCTGTCCCTTTCCCCCCCATCGCAGGTGCCAATATTTGTTTTTGTCTCCTAAGGACCCAATTTGATGCACGCTCGGAAAAAAAGGTTTTCCCCCTTTTTTTTTTTTTTTTTTTTTTTTTTTGTAAAATTGCATGCCCTTTATTTTATACATAGCGTGCGTTTATGGTGTTATTTTATTATATTCTATATCTCATTCGATTTGTAATTTTTTTTTTTGTGTCTCGCTTCGCTCCCGCTTTTTCCTTTTTTTTCTTTTTTTTGTGTTTGCATGATTACCTCAGCGTTGCTAACGAATAGACCAACGGCGTGCCTTTGAAGCCACGCGCGAGGTTTTTCACGAAAAAGTTAAACCTTTACGTGACCATTAATATAGTTGTCCAAAGGTATCCGCTCATTTAGACAGACACGCACACCTACTGCTCATCAAATTTTTTTTTCTAACTTCCTACCCATTTACCGCAAATGAATTCCCCAATTTAAATTTACGCATCATAGTAAATTAAAGTTTTAAAAATAAATCACACAGCGTTATATAAATGTGAAGCAAAATAAAAAAAAAAAAACAAAAAGGGGGAAATGGCTAACTGGAAAAAAATGCGCGTTAAAAAAAAAAAAAAATTAAAAAGTAAACAAACGTGAAAAAAAGACAAAACAAAAATTAAAGCCACATACTGCGCAGCACAGTATGCATTCCCCCCATTTGTGAAGATGCAAATGGGACAAATGTGTCGACGCGCCGGTTTGCCGCACAGCTTTGACCCGCGTGTGCTACTTCTTCTTTTTCTTCTGCACAGTTTGCCGGTTCAACAACTTGTACTTTTTGGAGTCATTTTTGCTTAGCGTGATTGCGTTGCGGCATCCTTTTCCTCCCTGGAAAAGTTGAAATGGGGGCAGTGGTGAAAGGTGTGTGGGCGCGCGAAAAGGGGGCATACGTGTATGCACACACCATGCGCATGTTGCGCGTGCATGGATAATATATAACCCGTATTGTACACGTGGCACAACGTCGGTTAATGCGCACGACGTTTTTTTTTTTTTTTTCTCATTTCGCAAACCTCCCAGAAGTTCCCGCCTTTCTTCGTCTTCTTGTCCCGCTGACATACACACACATCATCATCATCAAATTCACGGAAACAGAATCCGCAAATGACTCTCTTGGCAATGCCACATTCGTGGTTGCTATTTAAATCATGGCAAGTGGGGCACGGAAATATCTTTAAAAAAAAAGGGAGAAAAAAAAAAAAAAAAATAGCGTAGGATGGGGGAGCAGCAAAAGGTGTAGTGATGTTGTATCTTCAAAAAATGGGTGGTAAACGGGGAAAGGCGCACAAACCAAAAGGGGTGCACATACACATTGCGGTGGTTTGTCAATACGCGGCAAACGCTCACCTTGTTACAACAGGGGAATTTGAAGAGGCGATGGGACTTTTTAAAATGCTTGCACGCACCATCCTTCACTTCTATATTATTTACTTTTATAACGTTTTTGAATTTTTCTATCTTCAAATTGTTCGGTGTAGGTACAGCCTTTTTGTTGGACTTTTTTTTCGTGAAAAGTTTGTTTATCATGTCATCGATTCTGCAAAGGAGGGGGGGGAACAGCGTGTTGTACCATATGAACACCCACAAAAAAGTTTGCACTCGTGCACGCATTGGGGGGCATAAAGTGTGCACGTGCGTGCCCCTCTGTTGGTGCACACAAAAGCACACGAATGGCTTTACTTTTTTATCGCGGCATTGTTTGCGCTAACTATCTCGTCAAAAGAGAAACCGCTGTATTTGAACTCCAGCTTGGTGAAGCACTTCTGGCAGTTGATGTGCATTTCTTTTCCTGTCACGGGGGGTGGAGGTAAATAGCGTGTCGGTAAAAAAAAAAAAATGACGATGCGCAAGTGGGTGTCTTTTCATCCATATACACACACAGGCGTGATGGGCAACTGTCCTTCCCCTGGCACAACGCCCATCCAATTTGAGGCAGTACCTGAAGTGACATTCTTCAGGATGCTCTTCCTCCCGCAGCTGTCGCAATTCACACTGTAATCCCCACTTAACAAGTCCTAAAAAAGAAAGGGGGAAAAAAAAAAAAATAATGTAAAAATGAGGAAACAATAAATGTAAGGACGACGTCACAAAAAAAAAGAAAAACTCCGTGGAGTCGTTTCTACCATAGGCTTACCATCAGCGAGCACTGGTTAAACTTCAAAACACACACGCAACTGTTCTCCATGAAGCAAATATTTCTGTACACTTCCACAACAGCATTGCTGCTGCAGTTCACGCAGGTGCAAACTATATGCAAAGAGGGGGGTGGGGGGTGACAAAAAACAACATCATGATTATGCCACAATGAAAACAAAAAAAAAAAAAAAAGACAACAACAACAAAAAAAAAACGCCTGACGCACCAAATGCTCAGGGCGCACATTTCTGCTCTACCTAACTGGGGTGCATCTTTGCTCGTCGTGGTGACATCAAATGTGTTGCAGCACCGGGTGCAAAGCAGCTGTAGCCTTGGGGGATAAAAAAAGGGGGGATACGTGGGCATGTATATGTGAAGAGAGCACATATGAAGTGTACACATGTGGGGCGTGCTCAGCTGCTCTAGTGTTCTGGCGATGGTGACCCCCCCATCACTATGCGCAGGTCCCTGTTGCAAGCACCTACTTCAACTGGATGGCCTTGTACAGCGATATATTTTTAATGTGGACGTTTCCAAGCACAAGACTCTTCCCCGTTATGTTGGCATTGTTGTTTATGTTCATATCGTCGCTGTCAATGTCCTGCTCGAGCTCCTCATTATTGGCCTGCTCATTGCCTTCCTCATCCGGTTCGTTCGCTTCGTTCTGTGCGTTCGGTTGGAGTTTGCTCTGCCGTTCCTGCAGCTCCTTCTCCTCCATCTTTTTCTTCTCCTTCAGAACGATGAACCTGCAGTAGAGGAACCGCTTCAAGCAGTCCTCTGGACCCTTGGTCTTCACAATTGCGCTAACCTTTTCCCATTTTTCTGGGCAATTTTTTAAATCCTTGTAAACCCTCAACCCTTCCTCAAGCAGCGTCTGTTCCTCCATCTTCCAGTTCATTACTTTTTTTTTTTCTTCTTCTCTCTTCAATTTCCTCACATTGTCATTCGCATTTTCTCTACCTCGCATCGGTGGGGTATCCTTCTGGTAGGTACCTCCATTGGGGGTCTTATTTATGTTGTCCTTTTTCTCCACATCGTTATTCATGTTTTGCCCGTTCGGTTCTGGCCTTGACACTTCCACCACGTCATTATTTTTCACCTCCTGATGAATATAATATGACCCACTTTGGCCTCTTTCAGTTTCTTTTTCAAGTAGAGCCCTTGTACAAATATTTGCAACCATATTGACTTGGTTAGATTCGTTTAAATAATTATTTGCCAGCGTGGAGGTACTTTTCTCATTGGTTTCGTGAAGACTATAAGTGAAATGTTCTTCTGATTTCTCGTTCAGATTAAATTGGGAATATGTTTTCCCCTGACTGGGATGATGGACTTCATTTGTGTGTGCAAAATTTTGTTGAAATGAGTCCACCAATTGGTCCACCTCAACCCCACGTACTTCTTTTTGTCTTCCCCCCTTTTCATGTTCACCAGTGTGATTACAGTTGGTATTTTTTCCGCTTCCCCTTCTCTTCACAATGTTACTGGGGTAATTCATGTCCGTGTTGCTGCCGTGTGTGTGGGGATTATTCAAAGGGGAGGGAACCGCATCACCGCTGTTATGTATATTTCCATTTTGCTCTCTCCTTCCTCCTTGTGCCGCCTTGTCGGTTCTCCTTTTAGGGTAGTAATGATGTCCCCTATCCTTTGTTCCCCTACCAATGGGTTCGTTCCGGTAGCTACCCCTTTGATGATAATCGCGATTGCTCCTTCCACTATGGCTGGAGTAAACAGCGTCTAACTTTTTATAATGGTCCACCATCCTTTCCCTTTTGACGTAATCGAATCTATTATAATAATTTGCATTTGGTTGTTCCCTCACAAATTTCCCATCACTATAATGATTTCTCTTCCCCTGCTGGAGGGTCCCCTTATGCTGCTGCCCCCTGTCCACATGGTTCGCCTCAACACTTTTTCCATCCTTTTTGTCACTCAAATTTTGGTTGGACATATCCCCCACGTGTGCGCTCTGCTTTATTTCACTAACCATGTGACCATTGCTGGTTATCTTTTTTTCACTACCCCCCTGCCGCCTTTGTTCCCTATTTGGAACAGTCTTGTGTTTCCCATGCAGGTGTGCATAATCCATTTTGTTATTTTGGTCCTCTCCAAAAAAACTGATTTCTTCATTTTTTAAATTAAAATTTATTTGTTCATTGTTCCATTCGTTGACGACATAATCATTTTGTGTGCCGCTTTTTTTTGCGCACGTTTTCCCGTTAATGTAAATTTTTTTTTTACTTCCACGCACATCCCTTCCTTTTTCATCCCCGTGGTTATTTTTTTTTTGCGAACAATTATGTGTGCGGGAGATTCCCTCCTCTATAGCACTATTCCCTTCACTGTGTATGTCCACCTTTGATTTGCTTTTCTTTTCAGTCGAGGGGAGGGTAACAGCATTTGCGTTATACCTCGGGGAAAAACTGCGTATTATTCCTCTTGCCAGATCATCAACACCGGCCCTCAACATCAGTTGGGTGTCCCCTCCTGCCCGGACAGTACCGTTAGCGCCGTTGTTCACCCGGTTGCTTGCATAATGACTGCCTCCCCCACGCAGCCTCCCAGTTCCTACCTCCGCCATAACACTCGTCATTGATATATATATGGCGCCAATCGCGCGGGAATTTCAAAGTTAAATTTTCCAACCCCCCACCAAGAATAACCTACAGTCATTTTCAAGCGCTAGTTGGCACACAAAATCAGGATTTTTTTTTTTTTTTCTCTGTGCCAACCGGAGGAATAAATCACCAAGCCACAAGAATAAACAGCACCGTGCTTTGAAAAAATATAAGCTTGTAATTTCGATTAAAAAAAAAAAAAAGGGGGAAAAGAAAGTTACTAAATTGTGCTAGTTTGAGATTTTAAAAGAAAAAAAAAAAAAAAAAGGAAAATAAAATAAAATAAAGTAACATAAGATATAACATAAAAAATGCTCAAGCTATAATGGTGTATATAATATATATATAAACATATAGGTAGCAATGGGATTGAACCACAGAGGCCAATTCTTTTTCACCTCACGTTTTGACGTCGCTCTGCTTTGAAGGGTGTTGTCAACGTGCATTAGCATTCCACAGAGAGCAATGTAACAATTGGTGTATGTTACCATGTGTATATAAAATATGTGCATGCTACTGACCCTTCATGGGGGTATAAAATTGCGCCTATGTTATATTCATACAACGTTTGGCGCGTTGTTAAAGACCTCTCACTCTCACCATGGTGTAAACATGACACGAAATTAATCCCGATGCAGATTTGTGCGTTGATCTATCTAGTAAAACTTATGTAGGGGTGTATGTTGAAAGATTTTTTTTTTTTTTTTTTTTCATTTTTTAGGAACGACACATGCATATGTACATATATATATATCATTTAAAACGGACATGACAAAATGTGTTGCTGGTTTTTTTTTTTTTTTTTTTATATATATGCCATTATTTTTAAAAAAAGAATTGTGCAGCCAAAGCCTAGTTAAGAACTTAAAATGCTAGGCCAGAGAAAAAAAAAAAAAAAAAAAAAAAAAAATTACACGTGGCGCCTCTCTGCATTTTTTATTGTTTTATTTTTAAAGCTCCATGTTAAGAAGGAAAAGCAAAATGAGCAATAAGAACGACAAGCTTAGGAAGCTGGAAGAGCTACAGAAAACTCCCTGGAAGAGTGGCTCAGAACCTTCTTTAGTACATTTACACACAATTTCCTTATTGTCAGGCATACTACATTCAGCTTCAGGGGCACAACCACCATTGTTATCCATACAAGTCATATTCGGTGCTGGCACACACTTGCCTGATACTTCTTTAAAGGTTAACAAACATCTCCATTCTTCTGTTCCGTCCAAGTACCTATAGCAGGCTGCATTATCAGGCACAACGGTATCTGTACATTTATGATCGGAACTTATATGTAACAACTGAGTTTGCACATTTAACAGCTTGGATAATACTTTCTTGGACTCTTCTTCATTAATTAATTTTGAGCTCTTGAATTTTTCCAACAGACCAGAAGATCTTACATCAGTTTCTTTCTTGGATTGTTTGAAGATCTCTAACTTCTCATCCATTTTAGTGTAGTTCTCCAATTTGTTCACAATAATTTCAGTTTCTTTTTTCTCAATCGGGTACTTGTTCATAAATTTTTTTAGGTTGTCCGTATAGATGTGTACCTTGTTCATGAGGGTTTCGTACTCCTTTTGGATGCTGTTCAGGAAAGGCAGATATTTCTTCGCTTCTTCATTCTTGGCATTCAATTGGTCACCATCAGTTTCACTGTCACCCTTTTCTATGCTTTGAATATGTGCATGCACTGCATCCATGTGATTCTTATACAATTCACTCATCTTGTTGAAGTACGCTAGGCCGTCTTTCGCGGTGGCTATATCCTTGTCGATCGACGCACTGATGTACTTGTAGCTTCCTAGCAGCTTCTTCTTCTGCTCATAATCCAGCAGTTTGTATGGGTCCTTCATGATATATTCGCCGGATGAGGAATATTTAAATGGGTTAAAATCAGATTCTAACACACTTAAGAAGTAGCTTCTCTTCTTCAATCTAGAATCTAACATGTCAATTATGTTAGTGTTGAATGCGGCCACGTGATTAGCCAGTTGTTTCTTTATTGTGTTATATATTCCTGCTAATGGCTTTATGTATACCACTTCGTACTCGCTTATTCCTTCTGGTATGATCACTTCAGGCTGCGCATTTTCTGCCTCACCAGTTGTTACTTGGTCTTCCTCGTCGTAGTCGCCATCGTCATCGTTGTTGCCGAACAGGGGGAGAGCGATTACTTCGTCGTAGTCCTGTGCTTTTACGTCTTGTGTTGTCTGTCCGGTTTGTCCTTCTCCTCCTGCCGCTGGTGTTGTTTGTACTGTTCCAGCTGCTGATTCTTCACGTGTTTGTGTTTCTCCTGTTTCTGTTTCTGTTTCTGTTTCTGTTTCTGTTTCTGGTTCTGGTGCTTCTGCTGCTGTTTCTGCTGCTACTGGTGCCTCTGCCGTTGGTCCTGCTTCTTGTTTTACTGGTGGTGCTGTGGGTGCTGATTCTTCTGCTTCTGCTGCTGATTCTTCTGTTTCTTCTGCTGGTGTTACTGGTGGTGTTACTGGTGGTGTTACTGGTTGTGCTGGTGCTGCTGGTAAGGAAGGGCTTGCCTTAGTGGCCACCTTGGGGAGCAAATCTTGGTATTCCTGCAACGCCTTCTTAACTGCTTCACTGTTCTTTTTGTGGTCGCTACCAGTGTATCTCTTGTTGTTTATAATTTCCTTCAGTTCTGTAAAGACGTGGTGCAGTCCACTGGAAAGGTAGGTTATGGTTTCCTTCTCCAAGTTGATGTTATTTCCAAGTCTGCCCTCCATTCTGCTCAACACTCTAAACTTTTCTAAGTTTAGGTAGTTGTCCTCCTTCTGCAAGGACTCTTCACTTAAGGTCTTCAATGGAAAGGGTTCACCTATGTAATATTTGGCTTGTGCCTTATAGTACTTCAACAAAAGCTCGGTGTTCTTAAGTGTATTTTCTACTTCCTTCCTTTCTGCTTCCTTCTTCTTGTTGAAGAAAACGGTGTAATTCTTTAATACACTTGATGGGTTATTCAAAAACTTCTTTCTTTTTTCCAATTTGTTTTTCAGACTTGTGAGTTTTTTAATGTGTTCCTTGCTATTAGAAATTTTGTTCTTCTTCTTCATGAATCTTTCTAATTTTAGCTTATACTTTCCGTAGTGGTCCAAAGACACTTGTATTTTTTCTTTCAGTTGTTCAATTTCAGCACCTAATGTTTCCCACTGTTCTTTATTCATATTATTGATGTTCTCTTTTTGAGATTCGAGGAACTTAGCGAAATAATCGTTGTATGTGTCCATTTGGGATAAGTACCTGTCGTAAGGCTTTTCCATTTGTACAATAGTGACCTTGGGTTCATCCTCGTTGCTAGCTCTCACGGATACGTTTTGTTCCGTTTGAAGTGTCGTTTGTGTGTTGGTTGCATCTGAATCTTGGGTACCTGGAGTTACTGTTGTCGTCGTCGTTGTTGTGGCTACAGGATTAGTAACAACGTTATCAGTGACATTTACTGCTGACTGAGCAGGGGCCACCGCAGGGGATGTCGTAGGGGGTACCGTAGGGGGTGCCGCAGAAGCAGGGGCAGCCGCCGCAGCCGCATTGCTATTGGATGCTTCCAGGAAAGCCTTAATCTTCGTATCCGTGTCTTTGTTCTTATATATGTTGTAAATCATTTCCTTCTGGTACAAGTCAATGTAAAGGTTCTGTAGGTCGTTGATCATGGTGTCATATATAGAGTACATGGCTGGTAAATTGTTTTGAATATTGAATAGGAGGTCTAGTTCATCACATGAGTTTTGATTAATTATGTTTTTCTCATCAGGTGTAAGTTTGTACTGCGTCAGTAGTTCAGGGTTCATGGTGGTGTTGGTTAGGAAAATGTGCTTGTGACATGCGTAAGCGGATTTTAAGAAATCCAAAAGCTTTTCGAGGTATTCCAGTTTAGACATGGTTGGTACTGCAGGTACGGGTGCTGGTGCAGGTGTCGTTGCTGCTGCTGCATCTGCTGGAGCTTCTGTTTTTTGTGCTGGTTCTTCAGCTGTTGTTGCTGATTTTCCAGGAGCTGGTACTTCTGCCTCTGCTTCTGTTGGTTCCTCTGGTGATGATGTTGTTTGTGCGCCTTCTCCTATTGCTGCTGGAGGTGTTTCATGTGTTGCTTCTGATTCTACTGGTTGTTTATCTGTTGTTGCTGATTCTTCAACTGTTGGTCCTCCTGTTGTTGTTGTTTCATGTGTTGATTTTTCAACTACTGATTCTGATTGTTCTGATTTTTCTGTTTGTACTGTTGGTGTTTCTTCTGTTTCTGTTACTGCTTGTTCCCCTTGTCCTGCTGATCCTTCTGTTGCTGTTTGTCCTGTTCCTTGTTGTCCTGCTGATGCTGCTGCTAGTTGTGTTTGTCCTGCTGCTGCTACAGCATCTCCCACAAGGGATGTGGTAGTCGTTTCCTTTGTTTCACTGGCTCCCCTAAGGGATTGTCCCTTGATCACTACCGGTGCCGTGACCGACTTGGCCTTCTCAGTGGTGATCATGGTCTCAATTTTTGGGATAAAGTCCTTCAATTTGTCAATCTCCTTTTTGAGGACAATCAAGTAGTAGGGCTCTGGTTTGTCTCCACTCTTGTACACCTTGGGAATGTACAGGCCGTCCTTGACCTTGGCATTCTTAAGAAGGTTTTGGGCATTTTTCAGAGCCTCTATCTTTTTTAACATCAACACTTTCTGTACTTGTAGTTCCAGAACCCCGGAGAAGTCAAACTTATTGTCCACAATGAGCTTGATTTCATTTTTTCGAATTTCCCTATCTAGCTCATAAATTTCGTTCTTTATTTTCCACTCCATATCGCTAAAGTAATTAATTTCATCATCAGCGATATCTTTCCTTAAGGTGTAGTCCTCCAAATAGGTCAGTTGTTTTTTCAGTTTGTTAATTAGATTGATATTTTGTTCGTAGGTGCATTTCTCTAATTCATTTTTCTCCTTCAGATATGCCTCCCTATTAGTTTTAAATTCATCAAATTTTTCTGCAACAAGAGTGTTGTGGAGTCTTGCTTCATAAAAATAATTAAGTGATGGGAGAAATGCCTGAAGCTTTTGTTTGTACAGCTTCATTTTCTGGTCGTACTCTTGTTGTAGTGCAGGTAATTTCTCTTCTTCCTCTTGAATTTTATTCATAATTTTGTCTAGCAATAATTTTCTCGTGCCTGCATTAATGATGATTCCTTTATTTGGTTGCTGTCCATCATCTGGATTTTGTAAATCACCAAATGATTCCTGAGATTCAATATTTTCTATCAGTTCCAAAATGGTGCTTTCTGGTAGAGCGTAAGTTATTCCGTGTGGGTAGGTCTCTTTCATGGTTGGAACTGTTTTTCCTGGGGCGCTTATGGACTTGGTGCTTTCGGGGGTGACTAGGGTTCCGGCCATCTTTGCCTTCTCCCTCAAGTAGTAGTCCAATTCCTCTGGGTTGGTGAACACACCACCCATGTCGAAGTTCACCGTGTTGGCAATGGCTATGATTTGCTTCTCGAGGTCGGTAATTTTATCTTGGGCTTCTTGCTGTACAGTTGTTACATCTCCAGTGTTGGTATTAGTATTCTTAGCAAGATTTTCCTTTTCTGTTGCGACCTGGTCGAGTAGCGCCTTGATGCTTTTGTGCTCCTTCAGCACATTCACGCGCTTCTCCAGGACTTCAATTAACTTTTGCGCCTCCTCTAGCTGGTTCGTGTAAAATATGATGTTGTAAATGGCTTGGTAAGCGGTTTTCTGCTTGCTGTAGTCTTGATTTGTAGAAGTTGATGGAATATCAAGCAAACCAGAACTTCGAGCAGCATCCGCACTGCCTCTCACAGTTGGATTACCATCAGTTGACTGACCTACAATAACAGCCCCGTTGTTGTTTTGGCCATACGCTTTAACATTCTCCGCAGCAATTAACTCGTTTATTTTTGTTATTGTTTGCTTATTTTTATTAATGAAGGCCTCCATTTTTCCAATATCGTCCTTTATATTGTCCAAGGGCTTCCTATAACCCAACACAACTTTCTTTAGCATGTCCAATTCATTGTCAGTGATTTTTAGATGCTCGGGTATTTTGCAATACTCGTGGGCACACATGTCGTTGAGTTTTGCTCTCAACAAATCATAGTTGAAGTTTACCACGTGCATCAGTTGATTGAATTCTTCGTAGCTCTCCACAAGATATTTTAGACCATTGACGTTCAAGGCCAAATCTTTTATCATGTGTAGCAAGTGGCCATGTCCAGGTAGTTGTAATGCCAAATACTTGCCCACAAAATCTACTATTTTGTAAGCTAAAGGATTAACACGAGTTCCATCAGAACTGCTATCTACCTCAATATCCGTTTGTCCTATTTTTTTTTTGTGGAAGAGCTCGTAGCCATCCACCACCAGCGCCTCCAACTTGTCCAGCTTCAATAGAAGCTGTTTATAATCTTCAGTTTCACAATGACATTTGGTAATGAAAAAAATGAAAGAGAACAAAAGGAGTACCACCTTCATTTTCGAATTCGTCTAATTTAATAATCAAAGTATGTAGTAGTAGTAGGGGTTAAAAATGTACTAACACTGAGACAGCCAAAAAATGGGCATTATTATTTCATCTTAAAAAGTGGCCAACGTTTTTTCCATATAATTTGTGTGTTGGTGGGGTGTGTATGCGGGTACGTGCGCGTGGATGTATATATATATATATATATGTACACATGCAGAAGCTACTAAAACGAGAGTTGGGTCATATAGGTGAAGGGAAAAGCGATGAACGCATGGAGTGTACACGTCACAAGTACGCCTGGCACACGGGTGTTCGTGTATACGTAAGATGGCACAGGCCTTTACACATACATATGCGTACACACGTACACACGACTTCACACATATGCATTCACGTACGTGTGTGTTCTTTACACAATCTGTTTTCGCACAAGTGTTCTATGAAAAAAAATAAAAAATAAAAATAATCTTTTAAAGTGTTCACTTGTTTATCTTTTTTTTTTTTTTTTTTTTTCTTTTTGGTGATGAAATAAACATCATTTCACAATATACACAATGAAATAAAAGAAAGGGAAAAAAAAAAAAAAAAAAAAAAAATTTTTTAAAGTGTTCACTTTTTTTTTTTTTTTTTTTTTTTTTTTTTCTTTTTGGTGATGAAATAAACATCATTTCACAATATACACAATGAAATAAAAGAAAGGGAAAAAAAAAAAAAAAAAAAAAGTGAAAAGAAGCAGCGCGGGGAAAAACAAATTGAACAATTGACAGTTGAAAAGTAAACAGTTAACAGAAACATGAAACAGTTAATAATTTACAGAAAACAGAATTGCACAAAGTTAAACCGAGCGCGCGTTACACACTTTCGTTTCAAATTAAAAAAAAATTAATGATCACAAAAAGACTCCAAATGGACGGAGAAAAATTGCCCTGAAAATTAACACGTGTAACGGTACAACACAAAAAAATGTACGCACAAATTTCGCGAAAATTCTGTACACGCATCAACGTGTGTTCGTTTTGTATGCGCATCACTTGAACATGCAAATATGTTTGTTCCCGTTTGTTTCGCTTTTTTAATGCACTTCTTGTCCCCCTTGAACCCTTTTATTCCATAGCCAGTTAAGGGAGGGGAGAATTACTCCACTATATGGTGTGCTTTTCATCGTTCGCTCGCCCCATTGCGCCATCATCTTTTTTTTTTTTTTTGCTGTTTAATTCGCATTTTCCTACTGTGTTTATTCCTCAGTTTTCCAATTGTTTATTCCTCATTTTTATCACCTTGCCTGTCCCCTCCTCCTTCGCCTCTTCTTTATTTTTTCAACACATTAGTGCACTGTCACAGTCGAGAGGATATGTTACACCATGGCGGCCAGCGGGCGGCTGTACGTTTCCAAATTATCCGATGCTGATTCTCCACGCGAACGTCCGGCGTTCCTGCACTCTGCAGACGTCGCACAACGGTCCAACTACGCAACACTATTGCAACTACGCGGCGAGCATTTGAAAGCGTCCTGCATCTTTCACACTTTTTCAAATGCACATGTGCACCTTTTTGTTTTTTTTTTTTTTTTCTTCCCACTTGGAGAATCCGCAACGTTGCAGCAATGTATGAGCAGGACATGCAAAGCTATAACGAACAATTTAAAAAAAAAAAAAAACATGGAAAACGCGGAGAATTGTTCTTTTCCATTTCACTTATGTCGTTAAATATATACGGTACCAATCCTGTACACACACACACAGACATGCGCGTACATTTTCCGTGTATAGATTTTATGCGTGACAAAAGAAACAACGGGGGAAAGCGGCAAGGGGAGGAAATAAATGAAATGAAAATATACCCAAGTAAGGCACTACATATTACGAAGGCCTGGACATGCAGGATGCCTCAGCTGTTTCGCATGTTTTGCCCCCTTATTACTCCTTTTACCCCTTTTTATGTTGTACATACACAGGCGAAAAAAAAAAAAATTTCTTTCTTTTTTTAACTTCGCCAAATGCACGTAAACACGTTTCCCTCGTCCTACATAGTGCAATGTTGTTTTTTCCGCCCCTGCTTTTCCATTTGGGATAACTTCTCAATTTTCCATGTTTTCCAAATAAATGCAAATTTTTCGCACAGCACCAAGGGTGGTTACCCTTGAATGAAGTTGCCGCCCGAAATGCGAAAAAGTAGTTGATCGCTTTTGTGCCCACCTGTGTGTGAGGGATCACTTTTTGCGCAAAAATGTGCACGCGGTGTGTAAATTTTTTTGCCGTTAAAAGGTGAGCAAACAAAATGGGGCAAACAAAAAAAAATTTTCGCTAACAAACGCGCAAAATGGGAAAAAAAAAAAAACAAAAAAAGCAGCAACACGACAGGCTATGCATCAAACGCAACAAACCACGCTGTTGCGCAACTCTGCACAGAAGAATAAAATTTTGGAGAATAAAAGCAGGGATGGAGAGAATTTCCCACGGGAAGCGTGCCTAAGAAGGACGCATTGTGGATCCTGTGCCACCTCCATCACTTTGCAAGGGCCAGGATAGCAAGTCCAAGTGGCTGCCCTTAAGTTTAGCAGGGCTACAACTGTCATGTGCATAATTGTTCCCACGTACATTACAAACATATAGTATACACATGCACTCCTACGCAATGACAAACGCCAAGATGGCGAACAAAAGGAGCACCTGCGAAAATGAAGAGGCGAAAGAAAAGCTGCACACGACACCCTCATGCATGGGCTTCGTGCCAATAGGGCAAATGCAATTTACCCTATTTTTCTTCAACTCACACTTTGCCTTCAAATCGCATCCCCCGTTTTTCACCGCACAAGAATTCTGTTCGTTTAAAATGCACTTCCCCTCCACCATGTTGTAGTGCAGGAAGCACAAGCATTCTTCATTAAACCTTTGAATGAAGCAGAAGGAGTTGGGTGGGCAATTCCTATTTCTGCAGTTCTTTTCCACACGGTCCGCTGCGGCCTTGAGGCTATCTTCGGCCCAGTGGTCCTCCTCCTCTCCCCAGTCATCCTCTTCCCAATCCTCATCCTCCCAGTCGTCGTAAAGGTCCCTATCATCACTTCTGTTGTCATGTCTTTCCTTGGCGTTCTTCCCATCACCCCCCTTGGGCGCGTTCAGCTTCCTCCATATTTTCTGGTACTCCGTCAGGGGTCCTCCCCCACCTGTGTTGTTCTTCGTGTCCTCCCCTCGCTCGGCCACCTCAATTCCCCTTTCGTTATATGCCAACAACGAATCCGCAAACCGCATCGCGTCAATATCCTCCTCACTATCATATTGCACAAAGTTGTAAAACAGAGCCATACGATCGTTGCTGAGATGAGGTTTGTGCTCAAAGGAGTACCTGATATTATTCAAGACATTTTTATACGTGGCGATTTTCCTTTTAAAGTTTTTCTCCAAATTTTCCACCTCATCATAGTTTAGCATATTTTCATGAGAGAAGTTTGCACATAACGTTTCAACATTAATGGACGCCACGTCCTTATCTCCTTTGAGAATCTGTTTTATGTCCAGCAGGGTAGGTAGCTTCTGTTCCACTTGTTGTAGAAGCTTTTTTCTCTCTTCAATTTTTTTCACCATGACATGCATGACGAACTTCAAATCTTCATCTACACTGCCTATAAGTTGTTTGTAAATTTTGTAAGTCTTTATATTTTCCATTTTATCTGTGAAGAAATAAATTTTCCCTTCTTTTTTTTCCCTGTAAAAATATTTGGTACTGAGATGGAAGGTCCTTTGCTTTTTGTGTAGGTTTGCATTAAGAGTGTTGATTGTGTGTAAGGTGTCTTTTACTTTTTTAAGATCCGTGAGTAACCTATTGGTGTTATGTTCGCATCGTATAAACTCGGTCACCAGATCGGTGATGCTTATGTATATGTACTTGAGTATTTTCTTATTATCTGTTTCCCCTCCATTGGAGCAACAAAATTGAGGAAAAAACTCAAGGTGTATTTTCATTTCCTTTATGTATGCATCACAGCATCTGTTTTGCTTCTGGAAGTATTTCATAATTTGTTCTTCGTACATGGTGTATGTGTTAAGGTTCTCCATTTGGTATTTTCTCACAAAAGCGGTGTACTTGCTTAACCCGTAATAATCCAGTCCGCGTTCTTCTTCTGCTTCTTCCTTTTCTTTTCCCCCTTCCCTTTCCCTTTCCCTTTCGTTTTCCTTCTTCACTTTGGTTAGATTTCTTTCGCTTTCTCTGAACATTTCCACAATGTCTTTATAAATATCCATCAACGAGTTGTACTTTTCCCATGAGGCATTTGAGACTTCCCTTTGATATTCCTTTTGCAGGTCACTTGGACCATCACTTTCCCCCTGAGGTAGACGCTTCATCTGGTCCATTTTATTCTTCACGTAGGAAATATTTTCTTCGTATGATTTGGCTCTCAATCTTAGATCAGAAATATCCCTTTCTATTTTTCTCACCTTTTCTTGGTTCCAATTTTTTTTCTCCTGAGATTTGTACAACCAATTTAGAATCATGTTGTACTGTTCCATGGATTCACTTTCGAAGAGGATTTCCTTTTGGCTAGCTGCATTTCTGGAGAGCATAGGTCCGATGATAAGTGGTTCTTCTACTTTCACATCCAACGTTTCACTAAGATGAACGACAGACTCCCCAATGAAGAAATAGGCAATTTTTTCTTCGCTGCAGTAGATATCCTCCTTGGAAGTCATCCCATTTGAATTTTCCTCAGGGAAGTACTTCTTCTTCTTCTTTTTCTCCTCCCCTCTCAAGCCTTGAAAAAAAAGACCATACAATTGGTAATTTGACATGATGTTTTCCTTTTCTGTCATTGGTGTCAACAATGGTATTCCGTTAGGTATGTATTCTATGTGTTTCACTTTGAAGGATGTAATTTTTTCGTTGTCTCCATTTAGTAAGTCACAGGTCCCTACTAAGTGATGCATCTGGTGAATTCGATTATTATTATTCGAAGAGGAATAACTGTTTCCTCTTTTGCTATTCCACCATTTAGTAGGTGTCTTGTTATGTGGATCATTTTCATCGTTTTCCTTCATCACATAGCAGGAAATGGCCAATCCAGGTTGCATCTGATCGCGGTGAGATACATAACGAATGTGTGGAATGTACTCGAGGTTCCTTTTTCTTTTCCTGTATTGGAGTGGTCCCGTATGAGCCTTACTCAAAGTCCCATCCTCCTCTACCCTACCCTGCTTCGTGCAAAAGGACTTCACCATGGTGCTTTTCAACTTGTTGTAGGGTGTCATCCCAAAATTCAAAATCAGCTGAAGAAAAATACTCTCCAGGAGACTCATATTCGTACCCTTGGATCTGGAGTACAATTTGAAAACTTGGCTCTGCTGCGTTTTGTATAGCATGTATTTGTAAGCCTCCAAGAGTGAATTCGTCATTAGTGCATTGTTTAGTAGATGGAATGGAAATTTCAGGGGAGTAGAAGAGGAAGAAGAGGCGTAAGAGTATATGGAAGACGCACACGATTTAACAGAAGATACAGTCGCTTTGTTTATCATATTGAATTCATCTCCCATATCTTTTAGGTTGTAAAAAATAGACTTCTTTATCACATCCTTGGAGTATACGGGATTGTCTATGGAACAGGAGTGTCCATGATGACAACCAGAGGAGGAGCTGTGCTCTTCCCAATTTTCAAACTTTTTTAAAATATACCCTGAAATTTCATCATTCTTGAATATGCTAGAAAAGTAGGAGTGAATTTGATTGAAGGAGCGTTTTACTTGCTCATCGTGTGTATTGCTCTCCCCGTTTGGAGATTCCTTGCTCGATCGAAACAAATCTGCAGCGTGGACAAAATCAGCTACGTGGAACGGCGTTTTGGTGAAGTTTGTGGCCAGCTCATACACCATGCTTAGGTTATGTGCCCCCCAACTGGGTTCATCCTCACCAAAGTCTCCGTCCCCATTAAACGCGTTACTCTCCCCAATGTAATCGCTACCCACACCGGGGCCAATGTCTATCCCAAGACGCGCACTCATAAACGACGAGTTGAGGCCGAACATGTAAATCATGTACTTGAGGAGAAGGTGAGAAAGGTCCCCCTGCTTCATCACACCATCTAAATTCTCAAGAGTCAAATCGTGACAAAAGTCTTTGTTCACATCGATCTGGTAGCTACTTTGCAAATGTTCCAGGTGATTCTCATACAGGAGAAGCAAAAAACGATTGCTCAGGAGAAAAGCCGATGGAGTCATTTTACGCAAAAAGCTTATCTTCATTTTCAATATAAGTACAATCCTTTTTACCACAATTATTTTTCCAAAGCGAAGAATGCTTTTGTAAAATCCTACCATTTGATCTTTCCTCAATTTGATATTAAATAAAATGGGGTGCATTTCTACTTTGCCTATATTTAAAATGTGCTTTATTTTTATTTTTTTGTTTTTCAATTTTTTGTATCGAGTTAGAAGCATCACGACCTTTTTCAGCCTTTTTAAGTATTCGTCTTCTCGTTCGATCAGCTCCCCGTTTAGTTTGTCTTTCTTCACTTTGTCTTCTTCACTTAAAAATGAGTGGCTGTTTTTTCTGTTCCAAGTATATGCCCACAATTCTGGAAAGTCCTTTTTTCTCAAGTTGTGTAAAGAGAAGTGTTCCTGTCCTGAAACGTTGTTGCCATTCCCTGCGACTGATTCTCCTTTTTTAAGATTGCTCATCAAGTTCCTCTTCCGTATGCCCTTCTCCACATACTGCTCATATCTATTTTTCACATTTTTGTACTTGAGGAAGGAACCGTTTAGTGCATCCATTTGCTGTGCAATTCTTTCTGCTATGTAGACTCTGTTGTCTTTGGAGTTTTCTCGAATGTAATCCAGTGAGAAAATGTCCCTCACATTTTTGTGGTAGTCCTTTAGGTGCTCATATACAAAGGAGTACATGCTTATGTACTCATCGAGCAGTTGAAAGATGTGCTTGATTTCCGCCCCCCCGGTGAGCTCCACGTGGCTCTGGCCTCTCCTCCGAAAGGACGGGAGTGCGCTCCCCCCCAGCTGCCTCGAGAGCCCCTCCAACGACGCCTCCACGCTACGCCGAACCTGCAGCATCCTCTCAATAATGAAAAAAAAATACTTCTCGAAGAAGTTTCTCCTTCGATACATTTTTTTCTTTTCCCTTTCCACTAACGTGTCCAAATCCTTGTGCAGGTAATTTTTTGCCAATTGTTCAAATCGATCAATTTCTTCCATCGACAATCTATCGTAACTCTTGTCCTTCATTTCTTTCACCAAATCTCTGCAGTAGTTTTGTCCCTCCTGTTGCTCTTCCACCTGTATCATTTGTTTTCTCATTTCCACGACGGAGCTGTGAATGTAGCTTTCCAGCGACGCCTCAAAATTGTGCAGCAGAGTTTTTACACTTTGGGAAAACTGCTCGGTGCATTTTTCTCCAGAAATGCTTTTGTAGTCATCCATGCAGTGTTTCTGCGCATCCGTTGAGTCGCTTTTCCGTTCACCCGTGGAGCCGTCTGGAGGCTCATCCACTATTAACCCACCGTGGGTGGCGTAAAAACCCGAGTAGACCTCCTCCTTCATGTCCAAAGAAGGATTAAACAGGACGTTACTCATGTCCTTTTGGCTTCCCAGGAAACGTTGAAAGTATTTCGAGTAATCTCGATAATATAGCTGTGTTGCTATGTAGCTGTGGGTGTATCTTACAATTTCAATTTGCTTGCGCAAGGAGTTTTTGTGATTAATGTAGGAGCAACTTGTGGATGGTTTACTCTGAATGAAATTTGTTTTGTAATAATTGATCATTTCGCTAAGGAGGTTCTTCAAATCTCTCTCCGTTTTTACACCTTGTAGATGCTTCTCATCGGTGAAGTGCTTTCTGCTTGTGTTTTTTTCCTCCTGTTTTTTTTCCCCTTGTCCAGTCGTCTCTCCACCCATGATTCCCTCCGCCACACCAAACAGATACAACTCCTTCCTAAACGTTAACCCTAATGAAGAAAACAAGTGACGAATCGAAAAGTACAATTCATGCAACACCTGCCTTGCCTTCTTTATTCCTTCCACAATTTGACCCATCCTGTCCTCCTTCCTTTCATCCAATCGAATCCTTTCCGCTTCCTCCATCAGACTAATCAAGGACAGGGTACACTCCCGCATTGTCAAGTGCACACCTTGGAGATTCTTCCAGTTGAATGCTTGGCACAAACGTAGCAGCAGCAGAAGCAGGGGCAGCACAAAAATCGGCCTCATATTTTTTTTTTTTTCCACAAAGAAGAACAAAGACAAAAGAGCCTTGCAGGTACTCATGCCGACATGTACACACAAATTTCGTTCATACCAAACACGCACTTACAGCCATACCCCCATATCCATATCTGAAAAACGCGTAAAAAATGTGACCAGGGTTTCAAGACAAATAAGCAGAGCTGCGCGCCTCTCGTCTATTTCATGAGTTTGTTTGAGCACCACAACGGATTGTCTCAACGATCAATGTGTAACTGAGCGACAGTAAGTAAAAACATGTGTTTATTTAAGCACATGTTTATTTACCCATGTGTTTATTTATGCATATGTATGGGATAACGGATTGCAACAACTGACAAAGGAGTCCCCCCTTTTTTATGCATGCTCGCCACACCACCAACGAATAAGCAGGGCGCCCCCTGCATGTACGGCACACACGCAACCCCCCGGGGGGTACACCATCTCCACCTAAACCATTGCTCAGCAGGGACTTCATGCATGAGAAAAACGGAAAAGGAACTCCACATATGTCAAATATTTCATCATTTCAACAAAACATTGTAAGGTCTTTTTTTTTTTTTTTTTCATTTAGTAGAACATAGGATGCGTCTGCAGTTATTCTTTTTTTTGCATGTGAATTTGACTTGCTGCATGCGCGCTGGGGGACAAAAAAAAAAAAAAAAGAAAAAGTAAAACAAAATAAAATAAAATACAAGAAAAGAAACATAAAAATGGAGGCAAAGACAAAGGTAATCACAAAGGTGGTAGCGACGCAGATGAAGCCCAACTGAACTCCTCTTAACTTTATTTCCTCCATTTGCGGCCTCTTCGCCAAGTGGGTCACCAAATCGGCGGATGCTGCCTGGCGGGAGCAGCACACACGGGTACCTACGTACCCACCATAACAAATTCACATAGGGGCCATTTGTACAAAGACACCTCCACCATGGGAGCATCTTTCCATTTATAGCTCCACGCCTCTCGTTTGTGTTAGCCACCCCCTGTTGGGTAGCGATGAGATCCTAAATGGGATGTGAACATTTAGCAGGGCCTCCAAAATGGGTAAGCGCTGGAATTGAAAACGTAGACCAGGGATTTTTTGTTCACCCCGAGGTTGTTCTCCTTCCTTCTTTTTTCTAACAACCTGCGCGTAATCAGAGAAATCATGTGCCTTACTCGGACACGCCTAGGTGAAGAGAGGCAACTCAAGGCAAGGAGAGCAGTGTGCCCACGAAACTGCCCCCACAATATTGCCAAGCCCCAAGGGAAACCTCAACTTGCGCTTATGCCTATGTAGACTCCGCAAAGGGGGGGGCGCTGTTCAAAGGGGTAAATCTCTTCACATTAGGAATTCGCAAGGGATTGTTTTTTTTTTTTTTCACCCCTTTGCATTCTTCCCCATCCGCGTTGTCTTGGCACACCTTTATGTGAAAATTCCCCGCACTTGCGTGTATTTTTTTTTTTTTTTTTTTTTTTCTCCAAACGGCATTACGGAGTAAAAAAAAAAAAAAAAAAGAGGAATTTCTTCAACTTTCCCCCGGCCATTTTTTTTTTAAAATCCACTTTCTGATGGGGATAATTAAAAAAAAAAAAAGAGAGAGAAAAAAAAAAAAAACTCCATATCACTGCATCTCTATTAATCTGTAAAAGAGCAAACAAAATTTGTATCTTATACTTTGTGCAAACGAAATGGGAGGAGACGAACAGGACGACGAGGTGGAAAAGACAAACACGAATGACCCCCATGATGGTGAAAAGAGGCAACATGAGGAGGATGCCCTTTTCAACGATATAATCCCCCAGAGGGATTATAGGAGAATAGGAACAAATGTAATAAATGAGAAAATGCTAATAGAAGAAATAAGCAAAAGTGGGGGGACCCCTGGGGGAAGGAAGAACCTCACTGAGCAGTTTAATCATGCCAAGGTGTTGTCCCTCGAAAACAGGAAGATTCTCCTCATACAGAACATCGACCTTTTTAGCAGTATGCGCGGAGCGTTGTTAAGAGGGGCTTCGAAAGTGCCCCACCAATCACTGCGGCGTTGATGCTGTTTCTCCGCACACGCTGACCCCTACACACCGATACGTTGACCCGTACACGCCCTGTGCAGGCCTGGAGGAACTGCGCCTAGACAACAACCTCATCGAGGAAATGGAAAACCTGCAAGGACTCTCGAATCTCAAAATTTTAAGTCTCTCCAACAACAAAATAAAAGAAATAAAAAACATCAGCCACTTGCAAAAATTGTATGAACTAAACCTCCACAATAATCAAATCGAAAAAATAGAAAACTTAGAAAATAACGCAGAATTAAAAATTTTAATTTTAAGTAAAAATAAAATAAAGCATATGGAAAATATAACTTACCTTAGGGTTTTAAGAAAATTAAAATTTCTCAACTTGATGGATAATCCAATATGCTTAGAGGAGAAGAACCTCTTTATCCAAGTGGGTTCTACTTTGTCCACTCTGAAATGTTTTAACAACGTCTTGTTGACGGAGAAGAGTAGAAGTAGAAGAGGATTTCCTTCTCATTTGCCCAAGGGGTATCAAGGTGGGGAAAATCCCTCTATGGAAAGCTCCCCCCAACAGGAGAGGGACTCCAATCATTATGAAAATTACGAAAAGAAAATCGGCGAAGCGTACTTGTCTAACATCACCACGCTGGACCAGGCCCTTTTTGACCAAAAAAAAGAGCCTTCTGTTTTTCTCAAAATTGATTACTACTCCAAGGTTAAGGAGGACTTTCTGCGCGACGTCCGCCTGATGAGTTCCACCCTTATGTAAGTCCAAACGCACTAAGTTATTACGCATATGCTACACTGATGAAGCGGTATATATATATATACCACCACACCGCGCCTTAACTACACCGCTTCTTAACCGCAGAGACAAAATCCTCCAGTTGAACGAAGAGCGGAACAAATGCTCTAGCACTTTCGAAAGCGACGTGGAGAGCTTCACCGCACAGTACATGAAGAACAACATCGCGGCATTCAACCAGCTGCGGAAGAGGTCCAAGCGGGTGGTGCGTTCCCTGCTCACCTTCCTGGGTTGCGAAAAGGGTGCGTCTTGCCGAGCGTTCCAATACACGTGTATGAGTGAGGGCATGCGCGTACTACACACGAGCAAACGCTGACTCTCCTTCGAGTGACGCTCCCGCTTCCCGCACTGCAGACCCCCCTCCCGTGGAACTCAGGAAATGCCCAGATACTTATAAAAAAAGGACCCAGCCAAGTGACCACCAAATGCTTAACGAGGCGATTACGAGAAAAGTTCAAAACGTCTGCGCAGATTTTCGTTTCAAGCGAGACAATGATGAGGAGCTCCCCCAAGCGGATTGCACCAAAGCAGATCACGCACAGGAGGATGAGACGCACGGGGTGGGAAACTCCGAACCCGCGTCTGACAACCCCGAGCGGACGGAGGCAAATGAGAGTAACGCCCTCCTCCTTGAGGGAGAAAAATACAAAATTATAAAAAAGTACATACAAAAAAATATGGAGGAGAATTTTCTCTTCAGGGACAAGTTAATAAACGACGAATTAGCCAACATGGTTTCCATTAATAATTTTCTCGAATGCTTCAAAAGGGAGGTCTCGAAAATGATAAAACTTATAAATGATCATATTTCAGATTACTTCCGTAAGTTGGAGGAACTGGAGGAAAATTTTAACTCCAGAATTATTAACTTTTTTGCCGAGGTGAAGAACAACGAGCATCCCTCCGTCACCCTCAGGTAGGCGGTGCCCCTGCAAAGGGTTGTCCACCTGCATAGTTGTCCGCCCGTGCGGCGCGTCCTCACCATGCGTATCTGCCACCCCGCCACCACCCCGCAGCGAAGACGAAATAAACGAGTACTACGCATACAAAGGGAGCCGCTCAAACATTCTGAACAACCTGGAGGACTTCATCTCCAGCAGCTACAACAAGGCAGGTAGCTTCCTCATCGAGGAAAAAAAGAAACACTTATTTGTAAAGTCCAGGGATCGCATTTCAGAGATTGAGAAAATCGTTGACATGTCTAACGATTTGTTTTATTCCTACCTCAGTATTTTGCGCGTCCGTGTCCAATGACGGTGGAGCGGTGTGTGTGTGTGTGTGTGCATATGCACCCCGTGCCTACCCACTGTTCACGGATGAAGTGGCCTGTACGGGGAGGGGTGTGCATTTGTTTCATGCCTCTTAACTTTGGGACCCGTCCTCGACATTTCCTCCTTACGTTCTCCACTTCGCTCCCGCTGGAATCCCCTTTTTTGAATTTCTCTTCCAACTTTACTTCACCCACGACGTCGTGCCCAACGGAGGGAAAAACAATTTCCAGAAAAGAGGGGAGGGGGCGAACAAATGGCACACACTTACACAGGCGAGCCGCGGTACGCACCGGGGTGGTGGTGATAGGTGCACCACCCCCACAAATTCGGGGGAATAAAAAGAATGCACCCAAGGCAACGGGTTCAAGTGGAAGAAAAAAAAAAAAATAATAATAAATAAAAAAATAAATACAATATTAGGCAACACAACGCAATGCAATGCAAAGGAGGCCAATCACAATGATGAAAAGCAAAACGAGTACCTCTACATTCAGCACACCGCACCCGCTTGTACCAGATCTAACAGCCCATCCAGCGAGGAACAGCCCTACGCATCCCTCTCCCGTGTGACATGATTGTTTTTTCCCTTAAAAGGTCCGCCTTAGCTTTATTTCTCACACTCATAGCTAACTCGTTTTTTGCAAAGAAGTGGACCAAAGGCACGAACCATCTGAATTGCATCTCGCCATTGCATGCTCACCATGAGAGTGAATTAGCTGCTCATAAGGGGAGGCTTTCGTTTCTCTGGAGCAGTGGGGGGTCAGTGGGGAGTTCGAAGGGTCAGCGGACCGGTCGGCGAAGGCGCGGCGCCAAATTAAACCTTGAAAGAGGGGGTATTTGCATGGATGGCCGACTTAAAGCGCAAAATGGTGTGATGAGAGACAAGAATAGCAGTGAGCAGGCCGAACCACGCGCCTTCACCATCAGGGACATCGGGACGCTGGTGGGGGGACATGTAACCGTCATGAGCGGGGCCTTCAAACACTGCAGGGGGGTCATCCTCGACATTAAGAAGACGGACAAAGACGAGTACGAGCTCCTAGTGGTAATCAACAGAGACGAGGCGGCCAAGTATCCCAAGAACATTCTAAACAAATTCGGAAAGAGCTACTGGTTTAACGTGAAGGACCTCCAAGTTGAAAGGGTGAAAGATTTACTGTTCCACAGGTATGAAAATTTTTATGACCAGAAGGCGCGGCCCGTGGATGGGGACCTGCAGGAGATGAAGGAGCGGTTCAGCGAGTTAGGCATCGAAGGGGAAGAGCTAATGGAGTTGAACAGCGAAGAGGAGAACGCATTGGAGGGGGAAGATGTAACGGACGTGAGCAGCGAGGAGGAGAACACATTGGAGGGGGAAGATGTAACGGACGTGAGCAGCGAGGAGGAGAACACATTGGAGGGGGAAGAAGTAACGGACGTGAGCACAGAAGAGGAGAACACATTGGAGGGCAAAGAGGTAACGGACGTGAGCAGTGAAGAGGCAAACGCTTCCTATATCGAGGCGACCCCGCGGCCAGACCTTATCACCCTCCAACAGAGCCTCATCGAGGGAAGAAAAAAACGGCCGCGGAGAAGCGCCTTCTGCCACACAGTGGTGAAGCAAATAGAAAAGAATTACATGTACGAAGATCTCCTAAACCTATACAAGGAAAAGAGACATCTGGCAAACATAGTGGTGTGTTTCTACATCCTAAAGCAGCTGGTGAAAATATACAACTTTGAAAAAGAAAGCGAAAATGGGCCAAGTGCGTTCCTCAAAAATGTTATTTACAGCAACACCTTTGAAATCATATTAACAGATGTGTTGAAATTTTTGCAGAAAAAGGAAATATATAGAGTGGTGGATAAAACATGGCTCTTATGGATCCTAGTAAAGTTAAAGATACACAAGGAGGAAAGGTATAGGTCCACCTTTGAAGGAATTTTAAATCACCTTGTGAAGTATCTCACCTACGAAACCCTGAAAAAAATGAACACCAAAAGTTTGTGTGCAATTCTATGGAGTCTAGCAAAATGTTCCCATAGCAACATACAAATTTGTAAAAAAATTTACAAAAAAATTGTGTACTTTTTGGACAAGTACACCACTGTGATGTCTTGCCACGACATTTCGAACATCTATTATTCCCTTGGGTTAGTTGAATACAAAAATGGGGACCCCTTTTTTAATTTAATCGATGAAGAAATTAAAAAAAATATAAATAAATTTTCAGTACAAAATCTTATGAATATACTCTACGGAATGACAAAACTGAAGAGAAATAACTCCACTCTTGCGGTCGTAAAGGATAAGTTACTCTTCCACTCCTCCAACATGAACCTTCGAAACATGAGTTTGTTCCTTTGGTGTCTAAATAAAAACGAGTACTACCACGTGGACGTGAACTTCAAAGACAAGTCCTTTCAACATTTAAATGTAAAGCAAGCCATGCAATTGTTAATGTTTTTTAATTATAACAGACACAAATATGTGTACTACCTCAAATACGTTTTGAATTTTTTATTCAAGTATATCTCTAAGTTGACCAACCAAGAAATTTCCTTCCTTTTTTACTCCTTGTTCAAATTAAATTTACTCAAAAGTAGTAAGTGCTTTGTAAAGGTGCGTAAGCATATCATCCAGAGGGACTACAGAGAATTCAACCTCATAGACCTCAACATGATTCTACTCTCCATGAACAATAGCAATGTGTACGACAAAATTTTGCTGAACTACTTGTTTCGCGCCCTCAGGGGAATTCTCGCGCGCGTCCTTGAGGCGCGAGCCCCGCGGGGAAGCAGCGCCCCGGAACGAGTGACCATGCCTGAACGAGTGACCACCCCCATAGACTGCACCAACTTGAACTACGTAATGAAAAACCTCTCAGAAATGAAAATTTTCGACCAAAGCATTATGCTCAAGTATGCCCTTTTATTCTCCAACAATCTTGCCCATATCAGCGCCGACCACATTTGCGATTATCTCTTCTACACCTTATCGATGAGCCACCCTGGGGGGAAAAACCAAGTAGGGATGAATAAAGAAGGGGAGGAAAAAACCCAAATGACAGACTGTTCCAAGAGCGAACTGTCCGCATTCACCTCTCGTGACCAAAGGATCGCACAATTTGTGATCTCCAATGAAGAGATTACCTTGAAGGAAGCCAATTTTGGAAAAGTCTATCAACACTATTTAACCAAAGTGACTCAATTCGTGAAGGAAAAACTATCCCATTTCGACGCGCACACATTTCTTGCCCATTTGGAGGAACACGAAAATGGGAACACAGGACAAAGCGGAGGTGGGGAAAAACAGGAGGAAGACAAAATCGATACATTCGTTTTCAATTACCAAACGGAAAAGAAACACGAGCATGTACAAAAACTGAATGAACTCATTTTGGAACAAACCACCAACCATGCTGAGAAAGCAACTTTGCTGGGGGACTCAGTTTCGGATAAAGAGTTTTCCTCATTTGTTAACGAGGCGGAGGACAACTATCATCATGATAATGATGAAAATATAGAAAAAAAAATAAAACAAAACAAAAAAAATCAGCCATGCACATCCATCAGTTCGCTCATTCATTTGTTCTACTCCCTTGCGTCCTTGAACGAACTTCACAAGGATCGCGTTGATCACTACATGGACAATTTGTACACCGTCGTGGAGAAAAAAAAAAGCGAAATAACGGCCTACCAGTGGCTGCTCATCAAGGACATCTTCAAGATGGTACGTGTGAAGAGGAGCGCCGATTGGGAGCTTCTCCTCGACAATGTAAACACCTACGTTAAGGGTGCCGAGCAGGAGGGAAGCGCACGCTTCGAGACCATCAACATCGAGATATAGCAGAGGGGGTATGTCGTTGTGTGTGTGGGGATCTACAAATTGGCGTAGCCTATATATGATCACCTCTAATTGCACACACACAAAAAAGAATTGCTAACCACCCCCATGAAGTTACTACGGGGTGATCAGCCGAATGGTATCCTTTTTTTTTTTTTTTTTGCGCTGCACCCCTTATCCCATGGCCTTGTTGAAAATGTAAAAGGCCCAAAACAAAATGGCAAATATGAAGGAAACAAAACAAGAGTACCCAATGTCGTTCAGCAGAAACATCGCCTTGTTGATGTACTTATCCTGCCCGATGTAGTTCATACCAAAAGATGAGTCCATATATTTTATAAACTCGAGCAGATACTTCACCTGAATTAGCAGTAGCGAGACAAACGCGACCACCGTTGAGAAGAGGAGGCTAAAATAATTAAAATTCAGCGTCCCTTTTAGGCTGTAAAAGAGGTACCATATATTGCTGTACCATTTGGCTGAGTATATATTTTTCAATCCCATGGTGCGAATTATCTCGTCCACATTTCGCAGACAGTGCATGTGGAGAACACACGGGGAGGTGTGTGTGTGCGTGTCAATTATGGAGTAATTGAATGTTTTTTCTATCTGACCGATTTTCCTTTGCCCTTCATCCATGTACACTTCGTCCAGAATGGTCTTCTGCTTCATCCATGTGACTGCGTGTGCATCGGTATGATGCTTCCCAGGGGAGGTTCCTTTCGGAGTATTCCCCCTGCCAAGGGTGTGGGACTCTGTCCGTTGGTGTGCGTCTATTTCGTTTTTTGTTAACTCTCTCCCTTGGCTTTTTTTTTTTTTTAAAAATTCCACTATGGAGGATAAGACTGAATTTTTTTTTTTTTTTTCCTCCGTTTGGCTAGCTTGGCCATTTTTTTTATTTTTTTCTTCCGTTTGGCTAGCTTGGCCATTTTTTTTATTTTTTCCCTCCTTTTGGCTAGCCGGTCCAATTTTTATATTTTTTTCCTCCGTTTGGCTAGCTTGTCCAATTTTTATATTTTTTTTGGCCTCCGCGTTTCCTTGCTTGTTCTGGTAGTACACGCTGAGCAACGGGCGAAAAGGAAAAAACTGCACAGAGTCCTGGTAGCTCATCAGAGCCACGTTCCCTTTGCTTCGAAACAAATGAAAAATAATGTTGTGATTGTCAACGATAATTCTGTTGTAATATTTCGCATTCTCCTGAGGGATGCAACTATGAAGTGCGTTTTTCTCTCCGTGTGTAGGGCTATCCTTCTGCAGCTTCATCAAATAGTTGCAGTCTAAGTACAAGTTGGTGAGGAAAATCTGATCGTTCTCAATAAAGGATGGGATGTATTGCAAAATTTTTTTGGCTAAGAAGACATTACTTATCCAACCGCCGGAATTTAATAAATTTAAATTTTTATAAAAATAAGTGAAGCCTTTATATTTGTCTCGAATCCTCATGGAATCCCATTCAGTGTTGTCATTATTTTTAAAAATGCTGTTGTGAAAAATTAAATGCATATTTTCAATAATCCGTAGAAGGAAGAAGCTATTCGAATAGGTGCTTTCGCTTGTGCATACAAATAAATTATCGTAATTCATTATGTACCTTTCCACAATTACATTAGCTGGCTGAACGAAAAATGTATCGAACCCGTCCACAAAAAGGACGATGTCGTTGTCGTTGCACGATTTTATGTATTCCTTTACTTTTACCAATTTTGTTATGAACCCTTCCCATTTTTTGCCCATGCCTAGAACAGTCAGTTCTATGTTCAAACGGGAGCAACTTTCCTTCAACGTTTTGAAGTACCCTTGCTCATGGGTTGCGAAGGTTAGCACGTGCAGTTTGGAGCTCCGAATTTTGGCCTTCATCTCGGCTACGTCCAGCGTGTTGGCGCCTATCGTGGCTTTTTTGCACATGTTTGGTAAGTGGGTACTCAAGGGGGGGGGAGGAAAAACAGATAGGTCCTTCACGCGTCAGAGGTAAGGAGAAGTTCTAACCCGTTTGCAAATTTAACGCATGTGACGGATTATAGCTCGTTGCTGCCTTTACTCTCTTCGCGATGTTGCTCCTTGAGCGAAAGGTCCTCCTGTTCATTCAACAAGGGGGGGGCTGTGCAGAGCTTTTACTTAGCGGGGTCATGAATAGGAAAATTTTTACCGCTTTCTTTGAGCGACAAAAGAGAGGTGGTGAACAATTTGAAAAAAGACGCGTAGACAAAAAGGGGTTACGAACAAATTGAAAAAAGACGCTCAGACAAAAGGGGGTTACGAACAAATTGAAAAAAAGACGCGCAGACAAAAAGGGGGTGAACTGGGAGCTACAACTTGGGAAAAGTGACACAAACTGAGAGAGAATTGCAATCGAGAGATGACCATTGAGAGCTCCGTGTTGCGATTTACTTTGCGGGGGCCAAGTTGTGGCCGCCGTCCCCAACCAAACCACCTTCCACATGCAGGCAAAAATCCGTGTACATACATTTGTCTGTCCCCCATCCGTGCGACAAGACCAGACGCCTGTGCATTTTAAAAACGAGCAAAATGGATCACCTTGCGGTGTAACGTTACGCGTGCTATGTTTTTCTTTCCCTCAAAAACAAAAAAATAAAAAAAAAAAATAAACGAAATAAGAAAAAAAATAATAAAATGGTGCGCACAAAGCGTAAAACGGGAGGGAGTTAGCAAAAGGGGGATAACACACAATGCTCAGATTAATGCTCCCCCAAGAAATTGTCAAGGGTTGAGAAAAAAAAAAAAAAAAAGGGGGGGCTTCAACCAAATGCGCCGCGTGACTTATTTTATGACGAATGGGTCAAAAAAAAATGCCGCAAAATGGCGCAAAAGAGGAGGGAGAATGTGACCCCAAATGGCACAAAAAACAAGGTGGACAAAATTGACTTAAAAAAAAAAAAGAAAAAAGCGATTTCTGTGAAAGAAAGCAAAGGTAGTGGTACTTAGTCCTTAAACTCAATGTGTGGGTTTTCGTACTTTCCTAGCATTTTTATTTCTTGTTCACTTATCTGTGTAGGGGTCGAAATGGAAAAAGGGGGTGAAACCGGGTGAAATTATGTAAATAAATGAAGACCTCCTCATTTTTCAACGCTCTATGCAGCTCGGATATGAGCTCCATCAAAGCAGTACCATTTTGTATTGGTTTTGGAAGAACCGCCTGAGCATTAGGAGCAGCTTGGACACAGAATAAATCATGAAGCAGGAGGCCCCGAAAATCACGAGGTTCTTCACCACGTTTCCTCTGCGGCGGGGGGTGGAAAAGGGGGGAGGGGAAACGTGGTGAGGTGAAAACAGACAAGTAGGCAGAAGAACGAGAGGAACGGGGTTTTCTCCCATGGAAGCCTACTTTTGTGTCAACTGGATCTTCTTCATGTTTCGCATGATGATGTCCTTCTGCGAGTTGAACAAGGGCTCAAACAGGAACCTGTACGGGGAGGGGTAAAAGTGTGAGATGGTGTGCGGGACCATTCGGGACGACGCAAACAGGGAGAAGAACACGAAAAAACGGGAGCTCATACAAGAAGGGACGACTTTCCCCGCGCGATGGTAGAGACCTACTTTTTGTTAAAAATTGTTTTGAAGCCGGGGAACAGATTAGACATGTTCATATCTACAAAAAGGGGGGGGGCAGAACACGGAGTTGCATTTTGCCATTGCAGTTGCCGTTGCGTGAGCTAACTCGGGAGATGAATGAACAAAAGGCGGTAAAAAAAAAAAAAAAAAAAAAAACTTACCCTTAAATAGCGAAAGGGCCATCTTTACCCTAGGCACCTGATTCTTCTGGAAGCTGTTTCTGAACAGGTTCTTACCTAACAAGGTTGCATCGGAGAGTGTGTTCGTTTGGGGGGGGTGCACATTATGGGGATGTACCCTATCGAGGTGATTAAGGGGGTATATACATGCACATGGGCCCAGTTCTGTGGGGGTTGACCCGCTCGAAAGTCCACTTGCTGTCTTACTGGAGGACACATAGTAGAGCCTATTTTTTTTCCACAGTTGATTTTCTATGAATTTTTTGTCAGAGCTGTGCATATGTGTGGGGTCCCAATTTACCAGCGTCTGTTCGTGCCCCTGGTTGCTCTTAAAGGAGTAGCACAAGTGGGGAGAAGACACAAAGAGGAAAAAGAGAAAGGTGATAAAGGTGAACAGCGCCATTTTTGCCGGGTTTTCACATCCACTTGTAGTTCACGCTTGCTCACGTTTGCACTTGATCATGCTGTCTCCACACTGGGGGGGGGGGGGGGAGAACGGCTGCGGCCAGCAAAAAAAAAAAACAATAACCACCAGTTCTTGCGCAAGGCAATCCCTCCAAACAGACACACCAGTTTGGTGAAGCCACCCAAAAATTAAAACCAGCGCGAAAAAGAAAAAATAAAAAAAGGTGAAAAAAAAAAAAAAATGTATTCTCAAATAGGTAACCAGTCAAGGGCTTAATGGGCAAGTTAAGGAGAGCAAGGACCTATTTTGCCACTTGGAAAAAAAATCTTGGGGGTGTACACTTAAATGTAAAAGAAAAAAAAAAAAAAAAAAAAAATGTGCACAATTTGGGACAACAAAAAATGTGTATGCAACGAAAAAGTTATCATATCGGCGTTAAGAACATAGAGACGAAAGAGCGCATGGGGTGTGGTGTGCTTCTCCACTTGGGAAAATTTCCCCGCCCCTTTTTTTGTTTTTTTTTTTTAATCCCTTTTCCGCATGCTCAGATCGGTAACTAATTGTGCGTGAACAGAACCGGTCAGGAAATTTCACCTCTTGAAATTGCTAGTTTGCAGTTGGCGCCGCGGGCACTACGCACCTTTGTAAAAAAAAAAAAAAAATATATATATACCTACTCCGGTTGGTTAATTTGTGTACGCTTTTTTTTTTTTTTTTTTTCCCTTTTTAATATGGACTTTCACGATAGCCGTATATTTTTTTGAATTTTTGCGTGACTTGCTTATATGCTTCCCAATTTTGCTCCACTCGAACCCGCGTCACTAAAATTTGACCATCACGAAGATAGGTCCATATATTATAACATCCAGGCGAAGGGAGAAAAAGGGACAGTCTCCAACAGTCATAGGGGCACACAATCTCCTGGCATCAGTAGGAACTGTGGGCAACGCGATCCCTTTTAGTAGTCTCTGGCGATTTTGTTCGCAGGATGATGATGGTTATGTAGTCTTTTGGGGCGTTTTGCTACTGGGTCACTCGGGGAAGAGAGTCAAACAGAGGGTGGACGAAAAACCAGCTCCTTGTAGTGCAAAAATGTACACACGTATATAATTCATATGCGAAGATTATTACACGCGAATGTGCGCACCGGTGTTTTGGTCACCCCAACCGCGCAAGCGATAAAATGACAGCTCTAACCAACTACTTCATGAAGAAGTACGAACGAACCAAGTATAGACTGGAGGTCATCGAGAGGAGGTACAAGCTCTTCTCCTGCGGTGTCCCAATGGTACTTCTCATGTCCTTAACCATAAGCATAGGTACCTTCCTAATAGATCTGCAATACAAAATTAGGAACACCAGACAACAAAATATAAACATGCGAGAAAACAAACTCATGGAGGAAAAGAACAAGCTGCTGAAAATCCTCAGAGATTACGACTGCGTCAATTACGAAAATGTCCCCATCAAACGCGATTGAGGGGGAGAACACGGCGCGCACATTTCGTAGGGGCAGCCACTGCGTTCCTCTGCGCGCATGCGTATAGGTAATTATGTATGTACGTATGCATTTATGTACGCATGTATGTACGTGTGCATGTATTTTTTTTTTTTTTTTTTTTTGTAACCATTTCGAATCAGTCAAACGTGAACGATCGCGTACAGCGCCCCTCTCCAGCACGAGCGAATAGGCAGGGGGTGGGGGGATAATCACACAAAGACGATTTTGTGCTAAATTGGACCACCTGGAGAAGCTTTCCCCCAATTGGAGCGGCTTTCCCATTTAACTGTTTTATAACCCTTCTGCGCTTGAAGTGAGCTGTTAGGGAAGATCACCAATCAGAACACCAACCCACCTGTGCATCCCGTTCCTCCTTAGACCTCTGTCGCCCCCCCCCCTTTTTGGAAGCATGCATTTCAACGGCTTAAACATTTACGTCCAGGTAAAATGCATCTCCTTCTCTTCGTCCAATTTCTCCCCCCACCCTTTGCCATCCCGGAAAAATTGTAAAGTTATAAACACATCAGAGGGGGAAGGCCCCGAGCACAACCAGGACAAAGGTCAGTCTGAGCTAAGCCACTTAATCGGAAATGTATATATTGGAAAAGTATTACGTGTGGGGGGCACACATACAGAAATAGTCGCAGCGAACTCAGTATTGGGCAAAGACATTATTGGTATATTCACCCTCAAGTGCAGAGTTATCAAGGACACCATTATAACGCCTTACCATGACATTGTTGAGTATCCTTGCAGTCACATGAAAAAGGATCATGCAGTGTGCGCAGCCCTCCGCTCCTTTTACGAAGCTCACATTTGCATGAGTACCCTGAGTTGCTCAAACAAGCTGCAGTACGTTGCCATTTTTGCGGAGGATATTTTTCAAGTGCTCCCATTTTTGAAGCTTCTGATGAGGCGGAAATTCCTCATAGAGGTGTTTTTGTCCAGCACGCCGAGCGGGAAAGCGAGTGGAGAATCGAATGAAAAAGCGGGTGGAGAATCGAATGCGGAAGCGAATGAAGAACCGAGTGGACCGACAACCCCAACAGAGGCCCTGCTGGAACAATTCCACATCACCAGTGAGATCATGCAACAACGGGTTTCCATACGGACCCAAGACACAAACGTCCAACAACACATGCAAGACGTAACGAACGGACTTGGAGTAAAAACCATCGTCGTGTTCCCACACGCCAACAGTGACATCAGCGTTTTAAAGAGAAACATTTTCACAGTAAGTGCGTTAAATGCTAATATAATATGCATGGCACACTTGGATTATTTAAATCCACACGAATGTAAATTGTTACAAGACAAAGGCATAACCCTCCATTTTTTTAACCTGACCAATTATCTAAATTATGATTATTTCAAAGTGGCCGATGCATTTAATTACGTGTTATTATCCTTCCTAAACGGAGATGTGGCCATTCCATCGGTGCCCATAACGACCAAGTCCTTTTCCAGCATCGAGGAAATACTGGCAAGTGGTGACGCCGCCCCACACGATAAACGTTACAACATTTACGTTAACAGGAATATCCAATGAAATGCCCGGGAAGGGAATATTTGTACATATGCACCTGTGCATATATGAGCTCAATGTTTTTTACCCCTTTTTTTGGCAACAACAAAAGTTCCTTATGTAAAGTTCCCCTTTTCCATTTTTTTTTTTTTTTTTTTT